TCAGATTTGGATATAACTCCCATGTATATCTTCTATCGTTTTCGGGTTAATTGTAAACCAAAAGTACTTATTACTTTTTTATTTATTAATTTAAAAAATCTTAATTTTATATTTACACATTCATTAATTTGATTTTATTATCAGTACGTTTTATTTATGTATTTATTCATTTATTTATAGAATATTAAAACAAATGTGTAATCTCTTTTATTTTTTATATACAAAATTACTTTTTTATATATATTTATTTATAAATTAATTTATTCACAACTTCCCTACTCACATATTCTCCCCTTTTTCGCTCAAAATATTCAAGTATCTCCACTCTGAGTGGGAGAGTGTTGTAGCAGCAAGCACTTTCGTTTCGCTCAACATTCCCTTTCGTTCTTAGTGCTTCTCTCAGTTGTGACTGAGAATGCGAATACTTATTTGAAGATGATGTCAGCTGAATTTTAGATGTCAGAGACATTGGCATTTTGTTTTGGTGAATGGCGCGAATTTCTTCATTTCATTTTTTTTTGTCGTAGAGACTTAAATGAAATTTGAAATATTTTGTTATGCTCCCCTTCTAACCAGTGACGAAGTGGTGGAATGACCACAACGCATTTATTTCGTACTCCGATTAGTCGTAATGACGACATCGTCATCTTAATTAAATATTACAATTTACGAGTTGTGGGTAGCAATCTGAAATGAGGTTAAAGCGATTTTAATGCACTTCACTCAGGCACACACAATTCGGATGGGCAATTAAATATGGAATCAAGGTCTACTATGCAGTTTTTGGGCATGCATTTTGTTGTTATTTACTAATTATCGAGGTTCAAAGTTCAAAGAAGCCATTAAGGCGCATAAAAAATGTTGAGATAATTAAATTATTTAAAACAGCCGCTGCGGAAACATTTATATCCTCCAGCAACGTATTGGCAGAACACGAGTTATATTTTGCGGGTTTGGCAATAAAACAATAAAATTACTTATCATGGAAATGATTCAGTTGTTTTAAAAATAATTCTCCTATCAATACATATTGCAATTCACATTGAAGCCAGAAGAGGTCTTTGAACTGTTTCAATTGTGTTTCGAATTCGTCAAATGTTGATATGTCGTTCCTGTCATATCGTCAACTATTCTGGCGATTTTCTCAGGGATCTAAACACTTCCTACACCACGGTATAATGAAATGGGGTTAAAAATAACCAAATTTGTAAATAAAGCTTGTCAAACTGAAAAGTAGAAGGATCATACAGGATAACATACAGAAGTAGATATTTGTGTAAAATATAAGGGGAAATCGGTCGAATTTTTTTTTAAATATTTTGTTCAAGGACTATCGAAGAGAATAATCGTGGATTTTTAAATATTTATTTTCAAGGACTATCGAAGAGAATAATCGTGGATCTTTTAAAAATTGTTTTACGTGAATTTTTAAATAAGAGTAAAAGGATCATACAGGATAACATACAGAAATAGATAATTGTGTAAAATATATTTGACAAGATTGGTGATTAATTCTTAAGTACCTTCGGCCTTATAACTGGAGACGGTATCTGTTATTTTATGAACATTTTATGAACTTCATGAATATTCGTAAACAACAAAATAGTATTAGACCACATATCGCTTTGAAAAAAAGAATCCGATTCAAGATATTTGGTTTGGAGCTAGATATATATGTTTGGCTGTTTCTGCCGATAGCTCTCATAGGCAGAGCCTCATTTGGATCAAGTTGAATAAAAATGGTCCGTATCGGTCCTTTCCTCATAAAAAGGCAAATATCCAAAAAAAAACTGTTAAGAAAGTCCTAAAGTCGGGCGAGGCCGACTTTATGATACCCTGCACCCTACACCAATTTGAAATCGGATAAAGATATATATGGGAGCTATATCCAAATCGGAACCGATCTTGATAAATTTTGGCAAAGATATTTCTGAGCTGTATTTGATATATTTCCCAGAATATCGTCGTTACGGAGTGCATATTATAGCTGTGGGTAACAAATATAAAAAATCGGATGAAGAGTATATATGGGAGCTTTAGCTATATCTGAACCGATCTTTACCAAATTTGGCATACTAGCTTCTAGACTCAATTCGGTCGTAAGAGCCAAATTCCATCCCATTTGGACAACTATTAGACGTTTGGTGTACAATAAAATTAAATCGGACGAAGTTATATATGGGAGCTATATCCAAATCTGAACCGATCTCGATAAAATTTGGCATAGGTATTTCTGAGCTGTATTTGATATATTTCCCCAAATATGGTTGTTACAGAGTGCATATTACGGCTGCGGAGGACTAAAATAACAAATCGGATGAACAATATATATGGGAGCTATAGCCATATCTGAACCGATTTCGATAGAATTTAGCATACTTATTTTCAGGCCTAATCTGGTTGTATGTACAAAATTCCATACCATTCGGCCATACCATTCAATAGGGTTCGTCCTTGGGCCAAACAAATGATTTGTGCAAAATTTCATCTGGATAATGCAATAAATGCGAACGGTACTTTGTTTACAAAAATAAATGGACAGACGGACGGACGGACGGACAGTCAGACGGACATGTATAAATCGACTCAGAATGTGATTCTATGCAGATCATCAAAAGGAACTATGGGTCTATCTCGTTTCCTTTTGCCTGTTACAAACAAATGCACAAAGACATAATACCCTGACCACCTTGTGGTGTAGGGTATAAAAATTCTGATCACACAATTGACGCCAATCGACACGCCTGAGAAGAGAATTAAGGACAGGAAAGAATTCTAGCATTTTGGATAACCATTGGATTACATTTAGCTGTAAAATGGACCACAACAACTAACAGCAGGACGGAGTGCGTAAAAATTGGTCAAATGTCCTTGGTTAAAATGCTAAGGGCAGTGCTCCGTGAAATAATTTCAAAAGCGAAATCTTCCAAAATAGATTTGGACATAAGGGGGCTTCTAACATATTATAGTGTTGTAGGGTATCACATGGTCGGCCCCGCACGACTATAGCCTTTGCTTACTTGTTTTTTTTTTTTTAAAATTTTATTGAATTATAGCAAAAATGTCGAAAATAGCATCTGATTTTAGAATAAGTTTAGATTTGTTCGAGTTGGTCACCTTTGGCACGAATTATGGCCTTCAAACGGCAAATGAAACTGTCACACGCTGCCCGAATTTTGCTCTGCGGTATTTTTGCCCATTCCCGGCGAAGCGCTTGCTTAAGGTGATTGACACTTTGGTATTTTTAGAGCCAACGGATTGGTATCGGAGATATTGGTGGCCACTGTGCACTGAAAATGAAGGGAGGAACCTCAATTTGTAACCATTCTTGGGTGACGCGTGCTGTGTGCGATGGTGCTGAGTACTCTTGGAATGTCCAAGGTCTGCGGCCAAAATGTTTGCGTGTCCAAGGCTTTAATACAGAATATTTTCGTGATAATATTCGGCATTTATTCTGATGCCACGGTCGATTAATGCGAACGGAGAGCGACTATGGCCGGCGCTTGAGTTCTGGGGGCCAACCGAAGGTGCACATTTTCAGCTGACCTCTTTGGCAAGTAAACACGATCATTTTGTTTGTTTACAAACTGTTGGACAACGAATGTTTTCTCATCGGAGAAAACCAAATTCGGCAGTTCACCACTTTCGGCCAAGCGAAGCAGCTCTTTTGAGTCTATTTTCTTTTTGTTGCGATGTAAGTTCTTGCACTTTTTTGGAATTTCAATGGCTTTACCCCGAGCTCATTTTTCAATATTTGCCGAATGGAATATTGCGACATGTTCAGCTCACAAGCCATTTTTCGGCCACTGCAACTAGGGCTTCGATCAATTCGCTTCTTTATTTTTCGAACCATTTCTGCTGATGTCGCTGTTTTGGTCCGTCCACTTCCTTGACGTCGGATTACGCTACCAGTATCGCGGTAACGAGCGATGGTACGAGACACAAAAGATTTATTCACATTTAAATGCTGAAGAGCTCTAACGATAGCCACTTGTGATTTTCCAGCCACATATAAAAAAATCACACTATCACGCTTAAATTCCATCACGAATAACTTTTTTCTGGAAAATGCTCACCAAAAAGCTTTGGTACGCTTGTAAACAATATAATGAGCTGTTACTGTAATTATCTGGAGTTTTAACAGCTCTCGGACGAGTAACTTATAAATGACAGCAGTCTGAAGTTTGTTGCAGTTTTTTCATCTCATCCTGTACATCAAGGAAGTCACATTTGACCGAATAAAGTAGTTTCATCCGCTCTTATATTAAAGTATTCCGAAAATTTATGTATTCCTCTATATAGCATCATAAATTTTTGGTTTGGTGAAAATCGATTAATATATAACTTTTATAGGTTATTCTTAAGCTATTAAAAAATTGAGCTACTCTCAAGCTTTAATACACAATTAATGCCTATATGAACGTTTATTTGCCAAACATGACTCTACTAAACATTCGTAGTGGTGTTGGGTATCATAAAGTCGGCACCTCCCGACTTTTGTCTTTCCTTGCTGGTTTTAACGTTCCAGTAATGCTGAAGATTGCTTGTTTACATTACCTCTTTTAATGAAGAGTTCTGTTCATACAGCCTCAAGTTTTTGCTGGGTTTTTAAATCTCTGAAAATGTGTTTCTTCCTGTTCATGGCATTAAAATTCACGCTTCTTTGAAAATTTAACCCATAACATCTTTATTCATTTTTCTCAGCTATTGCAAAACTAAACTATGACCACGAATCTATCCTTCCCTGACCCATTTACGAGCATCAATAACAATCAATTTTGTAAATAAATAGCACAGATGCGTTAATGTTCTCCACATTATATTCACTGAATTAGAAATTAGATATACTCTGAGAGAAAATCCGACACATTTTTGTCACATTCTAACTCAAGCGTATGCAGAGAAAACACACCCAAACACAGCTTTTCACTCAATTTTTGCCGAAACGCGAATTCTCAAAGAAACAACTACCCACAGGGAGGCAAACGAAAGAAGTCAGTTTGCATTCGACTTTCCTTGAGAGTTAAGCCAGCAGCAGTCATTTGTGAACAGTGTAGGCGTTTGGTTGTGTAAAGCAGAAGCGGAATTAAATTTTTCGAAAAAAAAAGAAAATAACACAGCAGTTGTTGTTCAAATCGAAAACTAAAAGCGGAAAATGTCTTCAATCAAGTATTTATTGGCTATTGCCGTTGTTGCCTCTGTGGCCACCACTGGTTAGTATTAGGACGAAATCTAAAAACGTTTAGAGTCTGTGATGAGATTGGGAAGTTGGTATTGAAAATAGATTACACTTTACAATATTAAAAAAAGTTTTGATAATTAGAGTAGAGTTGCAGATTTTGGTAATCTATGACGTCCTTGAGTGTGAAGATGTGATAAGATCGAAATTCGGAGATATATTCAAATATATTTCATATTGAAAAAAAAAATCTAAGAAATTACTTAATAGAGTTTTTTGGCACAATAATTTGACCATTATTTCTTTTTAAATGCATATATGAATTCATTTTCAAAAAAGTTTTGAATTTGGATATAGACTTCTCAAGTGTTTATTTTCATTTTTTAATGACATCACTTATTAAATTTTTATATATTTTTTATACACATTATTATATTTTTATTTATTTATTTATTTTTTTATTTTTTGTTATTTATTTCTTATAAATATTTTTCTTATCTTCTTTTTCATATATCGTTTTCAGCCTTTGCCGTCCATTGCTACCAATGCGAGTCGCTGTCAAACAAAAAATGCGGTGAACAATTCGAGGCCGAGGAGAGTATGAAAGTCGATTGCAGTAAGGCTGCTGTTCCCGCCTATCTTCTCTCTTTGTTCACTGGAACTAATCTCAACTCGACCGGCTGTATGAAACAAACTGTGGATGCCAGTAAGTATGATGACAAAACGGTGATGATGATGACTGTAACAAAAGAGAACAGGAAGAAAATAACATCTAATTGGAATGTCAAAGAGGGATGGAAAATATTTCATTCAAAAAAGTACCAAAGTACCTGCACTGGTACCATTTCTTACAGCCTTTATCACTACCGAAAGAAGTGTTCCAAAGGTGTTTTAAATTGAAGTTTTTTTAAGGTCTTCTAAAGAAAGAATATCTTCTAAATGAAGTTTTTAGTAAGATTTCATACATCTAGTAGGCCTTCTCACTATAGGAGAACTTTTGTATATCTACCAGAAAACTTCCTTCAAAGATAGAAGAACTTCTACGAGTAGAATACGCCAACTAGAGATTTTATGCATAGGAGGCCACCAAGAGATTATCTATAGACAAAAACCTCCAAAGATCAGTTATATATAGAAAAAGGCCCTCCATGGTAAGAAGACACCCTAGAAATCTTCTAAACAAAAATGAGAACTTCCAAAATAAAAATGCCTTCTTTTTGGGACGGCTGGCGGTCCAGAGGTGTTTTATAGAAATCCGAAATTGTGCTCCACAAGGAATATGGCGGTCCAGAGTTGTTTTATAGAAATTCGAAGTTGTTCTTCGCAAAGAAGATCTCAAGGAGTTCCTTTCAAATTCATCGGAAAGTTTCTCTTTTTTCAGATTACTGTCCAGAGGTCTTCGCATTAAAGAAGAACATTCTTAGGGAACTCCTAGAGGTCTTCTTTATGAAGAAGAACTTCGGATTTCTATAAAATATCTCTGGACAGCCATCTAAAAAAGAACTTTCCGATGTCTTTAATATGGAACTCCTTGAGGTCTTCTTTGTGATTAAGAACTTTGGATTTCTTCAAGAGACCTCCAGGCAGCCATCTAAAAATAAGAATTTTTTTATCATCGAGGATTTTTTCTTTATAAAATCCCTTCCCCATTACGGTGTGCGGCAATTTTCGGCTCATGGTCCGGGGCTGGGAAATTCCAAATGAAAGTGATAGTATTCGGTAAGTACAGCAAAATTCCAAAATAGTTTTGGGTTCCAAGGCCAAACTTTTTTAGGGCCCATTACATATGGTCCTAACTTTACACAAAGGGCCTCAAATATTTTGCTCCATGCCTCGCAAATTTTAAGATAGAGCTTATAAATTTCATACAGGCCTTTGGATTACATGTAGAATCATTGGTCATGGGTCATGTCAGTCCTCGTTTTAATGTAACCCCCATATAAAGACTTACCCCGATTTCAGAAATTTATTTTACATTTTAGCCATATATTCATTCCGATTTTGTGCAAATTTTGGTAATTTGCGTTCTTAATAACAAGAAACCGTCCTTGCAAAAAATTTTCAATATAGGCCCGCGATATGGTCTAACCTCATATGAAAGTATCCCTGGATTTCAGCTATTTCCGGGGCCTTAGCCACATGATTTTTGCCCTTATTTGGCATCTTGGGTTCTAAAAGGTCTTGGGTATATATCTGCGAAGAAATGGAGGTCAATGTTTCAGAGTAGAGCCCATGTAAAAGTACCTCCAGATTTTACCTCCTTCAAGGGTCTTGACAACATTTTCCAACCGATTTGTCTAAAATTACTTAGTATTTAGGCTACTCTGGAGGGAGAGAACCACTTTACAAAAAATCTCAACATAGCTATACATTTTGGTATAGTCGTAAAAAAAACTCGCAGTTTTTAAATTGAAGGTCCCCAAAAATATTTTCTTAAAAACTCCCGGGTAATAAGCCTGCATATCCCTCAAAACTATTCTCGCCAATTGGCCTAAAATACCCCAAAAATATTCTTAAAAAATGCGATTATTGGTCTAAACGACCCTCTAAAAATATTCTTAAAAAGTCTAATTTCAAGGTCTCAAGTTTCCTCAAAAAATATGCCTAAGATATTCTTAAAAAGATGTGGTGGTCTGACGGCCTCTTAGATAATTTTCTTTTCAAAAGCCCAAATTTGTCTAAAGGATCATCTAAAATATTCTTAAAAAACTCAAAATTTATTGGTCTAAGGGTCCCTCTAAAATATTCTTAAGAAAATCTAATTTTTAGTTGAAAGGTCCTTCTAAAAATATTATTAAAAAACCCACAAAAATATTCTTAAAAAATCTCGTTTATTGGCCTGAAGGCCTCTCTAAAAATATTCTTTAAGGACCCAAGTTTACAAGTCTAAAGATCCCACAATAAAAATTATAACTTCCGGGATATTAGTCTGAATATCCTAAAAATAACATGTTTGCTAGTCTGAAGGTTCCTCTAAAAATATTGTTAAAAAGTCCAAGTTAGTTGGCCTGACGGTCCCTCAAACAATTGTGTTAAACCCATGTTTGTTGATCTAAAGGGTTTTTTTATTTTCTTAAAAGGTACAAATTTATTGGTCTAAAAGTCTCTCTAAAAATATTCCTAAGAAAATATCATTTTAGGTGGGGAGGTCCTTCTAAAAATATTCTTAAAAATCCACGGTTATTGGTCTTAAGAACACCCTAAAATATTCTTAAAAAATCCACAAATATATTCTTAAAAACTCCCAGGTTATTAGCCTAAATTTTCCTAAAACAAAACTCATAAAAATCCTAGATTAGTGGTCTCGAATACCTCTATAATATTCTTAAAAACCAAGATAATTTGCCTAAAATAACTCAAAAAATTAAATATACAGGATTATTGATCTCAATGGTCCTCTAAAAATATTCAAGAAAAATCAATATTTGTTGGTCTAAAGGTCCCACTAAAAGTATTCTTAAAAAAACTTTTTTCTAGGCCTGAAGGTCCCTCTAAAAATATTCTTATTAAAACCATATTTACTAGTCTGAAGGTCCCTCTAAAAATATTTTTAAGAAGTCCAAATTTTTTGGCCTGACGGTCCCTCAAACAATTAAAAAAAAACATGTTTGTTGGCCTAATAGACCCTCTAAAATATTCTTAAAAAGTCCAAATCTATTGGTCTAAATTTCTCTATAAAAATATTCCTAAGAAAATGTCATTTTTAGGTGGAGGGGTTCTTCTACAAATATTCTTAAAAAACAAATATTAAGGCCCCTCTAAAAATATTCTTAAACGACCCATGTTTACTAGTCTGAAGGTTCCTCTATAAAATATTGATAAGAATTCTACGATTGTTGGCCTGACGGTCCCTAAGAACATGTTCTTAAAAAGCCATGTTTGTTGGTATAAAGGATCATCTAAAACATTCTTAAAAAGTCAAAATATATTTGTTTTATGGCCCTTCTAAAAATATTCTTAAGAATATCACTTTTCTATGTGGGAAGGTCCTTCTAAGAACTCACCAGAAATATTCTTAAAAAAACACACTAAAGGTCCCTCTAAGAATAAATTTTCTTGGGAGATCCATGTCTGAAGATCCCTTTAAAATTACTCATACAAACCCATGTTTTTTGGTCTAAAGAATCCTCTAAAAATTTCTCAAGAAGTCCAAATTTATTGGTCTAAAGGTTCGTCAAAATATATTCCTAAGAAAAACAATTTTTTTGGTGGGAAGGTCCTTCTTAAAATATTCCTAAAAATCAATGTTTGTTGGTCTGAAAAACAACCTAAAAATATTCTTAAAAAATCTCTTTTTTATGCCTAAAGATCTTTTTAAAAATATTCTTAAAAAATCCACACATGCTAGTCCTAAGGTTTCCCAAAAATTGTTCTTAAAAAGGGCCCAGGTCATTAGCCTGAATTTCTACAAAAAATCGTTAAAAATCTAAAATTTTCGGTCTGAAGATGCCTCAACAAAATTTTATTAATAACATCATGAAAATTAGGAAAGGATATGTTTTATTTATTAAAAGTACCATGCCCGACTAAATAGTACACTTTTCGTACTTATGGAAATTTAAAATGTCCAACCCAGATGCCAATTGATGACGACATACAATTTTGTGGCATGACATAATTCGAGAGTAAAAGCAAACCTGCCATGTCTCTTATCAGAAGAAGCGAAGGAAGTAACAGAATTAATGGATTTCCAAGAGTTCCTCTTTAGCATTCATTTAATTTTTCCATCCCTTATGGCAAGAGCATGACGACATACTACCATTTTGTTCGCATGACATAATTTTTTTGCGGCAGTGGAAAAATTCATAGGCTTTCAATTAGAGCAGCTAACTGAAGAATTACCTCATTTCACTATTATTTCTTATTTTCTTCTTTTTCACCCTTCTTCTTTCTTTTTTCTACTTCTACGTCGTTTAGAAATGGGCGGCATTCACATTGTACGTTCCTGCTATTTCGGTGATATTTCCCACACCGAAAAGGGCTGCAAACCCGATGTCACCGATTTGTTGTCCACCCAGCTGTCCTGTGATGTCTGCTCTGGCGAGCTTTGCAACGGTTCCGGTTCAATGATGCCCGTCCTGATGACCATTGTGGTTTTCTTTGGTCTGGCTCGCCTTTTCTCTTAGGCTGTTTGTGACCTCATCATGGAAACCGCAAAAAAAAATATTAACTAAATCCCATCCGAATTAAATGTGTGTCTTTCGCAAATATTTACAAATAATGTTTTGATATGTTTATTATTATTGTTTTTTATAAGTGTGAACAAATAAAACGCTATATTTATTTCATAAAAACTTAAGCATTTTTACTAAAAACTCATAATTTGTGAAAATAAAGTTAAACGATTATTGGTCCTGAAATATCAAATTACACTATAAATCACCAATGAAATGTAATGTATACTTTAAGAGCATATCAAACAAGTAAGCAAAGACTACAGTCGAGCGGGGCCGACCGTTGAATACCCTACAACACTACAATAAACGATACAGTTTATATAGGCGAGATACTCGAAAGAATTCCACAAGATATTGTGACAAATAATAAAAGAAAACCATCAGGTTTCGTTCTCTAATTTTCGAATAATAGCAACTTAAACTAATTTGCTCATTTCCAATTTATTGGTAGATGTTGCACTTAAATGGTCTTCCTAGATCTGGAACCAATATTTCCCAAAGACCTATAATCTCTCAGAAGTGGCAAAAGATTAACATTTATTATTGGTTTTTGACTGAAACGCATCTATATGAGATACAGACATTTGACTATATTCTTCAACGAAATCAGCGTTAACGAAATAGTCAGAAGTGCGTCTTTCCTGTATTTGTGAATTCTCCAAAAAGTCACTGGAATGGACATTTTCGTATTTTGTCTATAAAAGTTGGAAAACTCCTTCACACATTGAATATTTTTGGATGGCCATCCAAAACTGCTTGGCTTTTGCAATGTCCGGTAACCCCCATAATTACGATCTGCTGACAATTTTGCAGTTTTTTGGTCCATTTCAACCCCTAAATATATTGCGATCATCTCCAAAAAGAGTAGGCTTCTATTCTGACCCTCATCTTATCCCCATGCAAAATTTCGTAAGGATCGGGCCATAAATGTGATCTGTATATGATATCCTGATATCCTAACTACTTAGTTTTGTTAGCTGTTGAAATATTACCAAATGTTTAATTCAAAATGAAAATATGCCAAAAATATGACAAAATTGAAAAAATATGAGAAAATTTTACAAAATCAATATTTTCATCTTTAGAGAGATATTTTTATGCGATTTTTTTAGAGGTTTTTTCTTTCCTGCCAAGAGGCCATTCTGAATTAATGAGAACTGTCGAAATGAGTTCAGCCGTTCTCGACATATAAGAGATTTTTCAAGCATATCTTCTTTGATAAACATATATATCGCACATATTTTGCTATATATCCGATTTGTTGGATGTTAACATCAATGTAAAGACCAGAAGTAACCTTGTCATGGCTTTGTGATTTCGCCGGGATTTAAAATATTCGCGGTTTAATGAAAAATTTTGAATTTTTTTCAACACAAAAGATATGGTCTATTTTACCCGCTAAATATTATCCGATGACCACCCAAATTGGTAGGCTTCGTCCCCGCCCTAAACTCTAGCTACATGCGAAATTCCGCGTCGATTGGTCTATAATTGCGACCTGTATAGCTACTGCAAAATCCGACATTTTTTCAGTATTTGGTCCATTTCAACCCCTAAACATTTGGCGATCATCTCCAAAAGAAATAGGCTTCTATTCTGACCCAAACCCCACCTTCGTGCAAAATTTCGTAAGGAGCGACCTGTAGCGTGATTACAAATTAACATGGACAGACGGACAGACGAACAGACGGACGGACGGACATACATAGCTAGATCGGCTCAGCTCGGCGAGCTAGGAAGATCCATATATACTTTCCTATATGGGAAACCAATATTTCGAGGTGTTACATAAATTCTGGCCCAATCAAACTTATAATACCCCCAACACATAGTGTTGTAGGGTATAAAAATAACACCCATGTTCCAAAAAAAACAGTAAGGAAGGAAGACTATATGATGCCCTACACCACTATGCATATTTAGTAGAACTCTCGTAAAAGAAAGATTTATATTACAATTTCTGAGCTCTATGACATATCTGGTACAAAATATCACTATTGTAAAGTGCATATTCTGAAAGTTGGAGATTAAAAAACGAAATCGAATGAAACATATATATGGGAGCAAATTTGAAATTCTTCATTATATGCTAAACTCGATTGAATTTCGAAAATTCACTCCATTTGGGCTAATATTAGCTATTTGATAATAAACCTGAAATCGAACAATGATATATATATGGAGGCTATATCCAAATCCGAGCCGATCTTCATAAAATTGAAAAAAAAGGCTGTTTCTTGGCTGCATCTGATATCTGGTACCAAATATTATTCTTGTATCGTACACCAAATTTGAAGTACTTATTTCTATGTACTAAATTCGGTCTGAAGTGCCAAAATTCACACCATTTGGACTGATATTAGCAATTTGGTGCAGAAGAAACCTAAAATCGGATGAAGATATATATGGGAGCTATATCCAAATCGGATCTGATCTTGATAAAATTTGAATCATGAATTGCTTGGTTGTATCTGATATATGGTGCAAAATATCAGTCTCGTGGAGTGCCTATAACGAATGTGAGGGACTTAAACACCAAATCGGATGATATATATGGGAGCTATATATATCTGAACCGATTTTCACCAAATTTGAAGCACATGCTTTTAGGCTGAATTCGATCAGATGTAGCAAAATTCACACCATTTGGACTGATATTAGCCATTTAGTGCAGAATGAACCTAAAATCGGATGAAGATATATTTGGGAGCTATATCGATTTTCACCAATTTCAATAGGGTTCGTCCTTGAGCCAAACAAATGTTATTTAGAAAATTTCATCTCAATCGAATAATAAATGCGACCTACATTTTGTTTACAAAAATACATGGACAGACGGACAGACGGACAGACAGACAGACAGACGGACGAACATGCTGATCACCAAGAGGAACTATGGATCTAGCTCCTTTTCTTCTCCATGTTCCAAACAAATGCACAAAGACATAATACCCTTACCACTATGTGTTGTAGGGTATAAAAACGAAAATATTTCCCAATTTCTCCTTATTATTTCATTGAAATTTTTTTTTATAATTTTATTGTGGATTGTGGAAATGGCAAGTGAACCTGTTTGTAGATCAAACGCTCTAGAAATTTCGGATTCTTACGCTTTATGTTGTTGTGACTATATACAGGGGGGCTCCTATAGTTTGAAATATATTTCGCAACAATTAGGATAGAGCTTTGAAATGTAGTAGAAGAAGTTGGACTACATCCAGAATCAATTGTTTAGAAAATGGGTCATATCTGTCTACTTTTTGGAATGGTCAAATCGACTAGAATATGTGCCAAAAGGTAGACCTTCGGGAACATTGATGCACATTATTTTTTTATATGCTGCGGAAATACAGATTTCTCCTCTGTCACGACTAACAGTGAAATTTGGTTAGGAATAATTTTGTCTCTGACGTCATCATTCAAAAATGATGTTTTGTGGGATATTTTTGCATACATTTATATGAAGTGTGTTTTCAATATAAATAAATTCCTAATGTTCATGTAGACTTAGACTTTTAATGTCTTCTAGGACCTATAGTAAAATTATAGGGCAAATAATTTTTTAAAATATTTTGACTTGCTACGATCCGGTTTAGAGGGGATATAAGCAATATTATAGACTACAAAAAATACATCTTTTTTGGCTCGCTTGAGGGTTTATATTTTCTATCAAAATATTCCTTTTTTTTACCAAAAACCAACGGATTCCACTGAAATCTTAATCCGAAAATTTCAACAATATATAGAAGAGGAAAGTTCCTTCCCTCTCTACTTAGGTTACTTTGCAATGTAAACTATCAAAACGCCGATAAACGTTTCTTCTTTTTTAAATTTGCTTTAATAATCTGCTGAATTTTTTCAAATGTTAATTATGAAGAAATCATAACCGATATTCTGTCAAACTTTGAAAAAAAAAATGTTAAAAAAATTATGATATACATGATAACAAATTCTTTTCTTAAAAATCCAATTTTTATTTGAAGTTCCCAAAAAATTGTGAAAAACAATGATTTCAGTGATCCCTAAAATAGATTCTTAAAAAATCACTTTTATTATTATTATTACACTAAAGGAGCCCCGGAAAAAAGTACTCTTAAAAATCAGTGAAATGGTAGATGATAAAATTATTAAAATATAAACAGCTGTTAATATACGGGTCCCTTTAGGAAATATTAAAAAAAATCTTTACAACACTCTAAAGGTGCCTCTTATTCTTAAAAAACCCACGAGTGTTGGACTGAGTGTCCTCAAAAATATTTTATTAGACTAAGGACCCTCCATAAAATTTGAAGGGTCTTCTAAAAGATGTTCTTAAAAAACAGGTTTATTGGTCGGATGGTCCTTGTAAAACTAATCTTTAAAAACCACCTTTATTAGTCTGAAGATTGCTTTAAAAATATTAAAAAAAAAAATATAAAAAAATATTTAAAAAAAAAAAAAAATTTGGTCGGAATAGTGTTACAAAAAATTATTAGAAAATCCTCGTTTTGTTGGTGTAATGGTCCTCTAAAAATATTATTTGTGAGTCTAAAAGTCGCTCAAAAAATATTCTCAGAAAATCCACATTTGTTGACCTAAATGTCCCTTAAAAAATTCGTAAAAAACTCCACGTCTGAAGGTCCCTCTAAAAATATTATTAAATACTTAAGATAGTTGGCCTGAAGGTGCCTCGAAAATATATTCTCAGAAAATGTGTTGGCCTGAAAGTTCTTCTAAAAATAATCTTAAAAAATCCACTTTTGTAAGCGCTCTAAAAATATTCTTAAAAAATCCAAATTTTTTGGTCTGAAGGTCCGTTTAAAAATATTCTTAAAAAGTCCACATTCGTTGGTCCTGACGATTCCTTAAAATTTTTTTTTCAAAAAAAAAACCAAATTTGTTGGTCTGAAAGCACCTCTAAAAATATTCTTAGAAAACAACGATCCTGAAGGTCGCTCTGGAAATATTACTAAAAAACCAGATTTGTTGGCCTTAGGGTGCCTCCAAACATATTCTTAACAAGTAGAAAAGCTGTAAATTCGGCTGGCCCGAACTTTGAATGCCCTGCATCATTTGGAACGAATTTGGCAATTTTCAAAAAACTAAAATCCGTTAAAAGTTCTGTTAAAAATACGTATGTAGCCGTATATATACGACGACGTGGACCTGCATAAGCAACTTTTATTATAAGCCATTACGAACTTCAAATACCAAATTTGAGAGAATTCCGGTGACTATGTCGCTAAAATCATCAAAATGCCGAATATAGGGAGGTATCATTATATGGGGGCTATATCAAAACGTGGACCTGCACAGATAATTTTCTGTCATAGGCTGTAGTATCCATTATGAACTTCAAATAACAAATTTGAAACAATTCCGTTGAATAATGTCGCTTATATCACAAAAATACCGAAAATAGGGAAGTACCATTATAAGGGGGTCTATACCTAAACGTGGACCTACATGGCCCATTTTCAATACCAAAAGTCCTGCAGAGATAATATATATTTCAGCAAAATTTTATCAACCTACTTCATTTCGTTCGGAAGCTAAAGTGATTTCCTCAGACCGACGGACGGACGGACTACGCTAAATCGACATAGAATTTTATGCTGATCAATAATATATATACTTTGTCGAGTCTAAAATGTATGTTTCGAGGAATGAAAAACTTAATATACCCTCCATACTATGGTGAAGGGTATAAAAAGTCCAAGTTTGTAGGTCTGAAGGTCCCTTAAAAACACTTCTTAAAAAACTTTGTGTATTATAGAAACCTTTTACAGAAATATTCAAAAATATACGTTTGTCGATCGTAAGGATACTCTAAAAACGTTTAAAAAAACGTTTTTTGATCTGAATGTCTCACCTAAAAATCTTAAAAATACTTGTCTGAAGGTCCTTAAAAAATTATTTTTAAATAAACAAGTATTGTTCTGAAATTCCTTCAAAAAATATTTTTTAAAAAAACCCCAATTATTGGTCTGAAGTAATCCAAAAATTTTTTAAAAAATCAATGTTTTAAAATCTGAAAGTTTCTTTTAAAAATCAACGTTGAAAGTCCTATTCTGAATGTCCCTTAAAAGTATATTTCTAAAATCGCCCAAGAAAGTACTGAATTTCATTCGATTTTTTTTTTTAATTAACAAAAATTTTTCTATAAAAATGTCCTAAAAAATTTCGTTAAAAATCCCAGATTTTTTTAAATCCATGTCTCCATAATTCTACTTCTCAATCGGCCTACCCCACTGATTGCATCCCAATTCTCACACATTTGTGCGAAAAAACTATTCGCTAATTTTCACTTTCTTTTCGCCAGCTTACTCATCGCTTTCACTCACACCACACCTCCGAACAAAAAATATTTCTCAATTTCTCAGATTTTTCTACTCACCTTTTGAGATATTCTCATTGAGAAAATCCTTGAGCAAATAACTCCACCACATGATAACGGCATAAAGCCAAACTAAGGCATTTACATATCCAACCGAGTGTTAGGAGGACATTTGTCAAAGTGGCGAAGTGAGTGGACGTTGTCATCATCAGCGACAGCCCCAGAACCAAAATTTTAAATTTATCATAAAAATAGAAGAAAAAAAAACGCACAGAGAATAAAATGTTTCTAATTAAAGCCTTGTTAGTCATCTCAACGGTTGCAACACTGGCCAACAATGGTAATTTGATGTGTCTTTAATGGGATTATGGCTGCCCAATTTGGAAAATTAAATTTTTTGTTAATTCGTTGCCGTTTTTTATTTTTCTCTTTTCTTTTTGGCACAGTTTCGGCCATTCACTGTTATCAATGTGCCTCCCTGGGCAATAAGAAGTGTGGCGAACCATTTGAGGCTGAGGACAGCATGAAATACGACTGCAACAAAGCTGCTATACCAATGTACCTCCAGACCTTTTTACCTCTTGGCACTTTCAATGCCACCGGTTGCATGACACAAACTGTGGAAGCACGTAAGTTTCGTTTTTCCTTTGTATTTTAATGGGGGTGTTCGTGTGTGTGGGTGTGTTGATTTTGACATGAATTTTGGAATTTATTTAAGGATGATGAATTTGACCTTGTCAACAAAGAAGTCAACGTTGTATTTCTTCTCGGTTACTGTGTTACTGTGTGTGTGTGTGTGCATGTGGAAATGTATGTGAAGGACAGGCCAGTTATAATAACAAAGTGGGTTTTATCGAGTACTTCTAGGAGAATATTTGCAAACATTGTTAATAAACTGAAGACAAGAAGTCTACCCTAAATGGGTTATTAAAAATTTTATAACTTTGCACTAGATTCGTTACTAATTTATGAAGATGGTGATGTTTGTGAATTCCAATTAAATTGAAAGACAAAAATAATTACTGGAAAGTCTTACAAGGAGTTGGAAAAAAATAAAAAAGAATTAAAGGTGTTCATCGCTGTACACCTTCTCATTTCTGAATACGAAATCCTTAATTAAATTAGTCTAACCGGGAGCCACTGAAATTGTGTCCTATTTTGCCTGGTACAGATTCTGTAACTTCGGAAACTTTCTATTGGTTTATAATTTTTCAGCATGAATTTCCTGATTTTGACGAAAATAATTTTCAAGACACAAAGTCTAAAATTTCGGCCTAAGAGTTAATTAAAAAAAAAAAATAGAAGAATTTAAAAAATTATGTTCAAAAATTCACTATGCATACAATTTTTCCCAGGATTTCCTTAAAACACCACAAATTATAACCAAGGCATAATAACTATTTAAAAAATGGTTTTAAATTAACAAATTGAAAGAATTTAAAAAAATCCACGATTATTAGTCAGAAGTTAATTGAAAAACGTTTCAAAACATGTTTTACAAAATCCATAAATTTTTGTCAAGAAATCCAAGAAAACTGAACAATTCCTGGTCAAGCAATATTATAAATACTTAAAACATGTAAGCAAAGGCTATAGTCGTGCGAGACCGACCATGTGATACCCTACAACACTACAATATGTTAAAAACCATCTTATGTCAAAATCCATTTTGGAAGATTTGGCTTTGGGAATTATGTCATAGTGCACTGCCCAGCTATCACCTTATCATTTTGAACAGTGACATTTGCTGTTAGGTGTTGTGGTCCATTTTACAGATAAAAATAATCCAATGAACATCCAAAATTCTAGAATTCCTCCCTGTCCTTAACTTTATTCTCAAACGTGTCGATTGCCTTCAATTGTGTGATCAGGAAATTTTTTTTTTTGTTTTTGGTTCATTTAAACCCCTAAATATTTTTCGATCATCTCCAAAAGTAAGAGGCGCCTCTGTATCTCCAAATTAAGATTTATCTATATGATTTGACTAAATTCGTCAAAAAATCAGTATAAAAAGCCAGAAGTTCGCCTTTTTTGTATTTCTGATATCGCCTGTAAGTAATGTTGGTACTTTTTCACACAAAAGTAGTTGTCTATTCTACCAGCTATCCTAATCTCCAACTTCATGCGAGATTTCGTGTCCTTTGGTTTCTGTGACCTTTATAACGGCTGCAAAATCAGGAACATTTTTAGTTGTTGGTCCATTTCAACCCCTAAATATTATGCGATCATCTCCAAAAGCAATAGGGTTCTATTCTGACCATAACGTCACCTCCATTTTCAATTTCGTGAGGATCGGTTCATAATTGCCACCTGTAGAGTGATTACAAATCAACATGGACGGACCTACAGACGGACATACATAGCTAGACGGACATACATAGATCGACTCAGCTCCGCCAGATAGGAAGATCTATATATACTTTCCTATGTGGAAAACCAATATTTCGAGGTGTTACATAATTTTTGGCCCAATTTTTTATTGCCAACCTTACTCCAGACAAAATAGTCCAACAGATTGGTATTCGGAGATTTTGGTGGCCATTGTGCGCTGAAAATGAAGCGAGGAACTTCATTTTGTAACCATTCTTGGGTGGCGTGTGCTGAGTGCGATGGTGCTGAGTCCTGTTGAAATATCCAAGGTCTGCGGCCAAAATGTTTACGTGTCCAAGACTTTAATACACCCTCCAGAATATTTTTGCGATAATATTTGGCATTTATTCTGATGCCACGGTCGATTAATACGAGCGGAGAGCGGCTGTTATGGCGGCCCACACCATCGCCATGGCCGGCGCTTGAGTTCTGGTGGCCAACCGAAGGTGCACATCTTCAGCTGACCTATTTGGCAAGTAAACACGATAATTTTGTTTGATTACAAACTGCTGGGCAATGAATTTTTTCTAATCGGAGAAAACCAAGTTCGGCAGTTCACCACTTTTGGTCAAGCGAAGCAACTCTTTAGCTGTTTTGAGTCTATTTTCTTTCAGTTGCGATGAAAGTTCTTGCACTTTTTTGATTTTCAATGGCTTTATCCCGAGCTCATTTTTCAATATTTACCGACTGGAATAATGCGATACGTTCAGTTTACGATTTAGACCAAGTCGCTTCTTTACTTTTCGAACCATTTCTGCTGAAGTTGATGTTTTCTTCCGTCCACTTCCTTGACGTCGAGGTACGCTACCTGTATCGCGGTAACGAGCGATGGTATGAGACACCAAAGATTTATTCACATTTAAATGCTCTGGAGTGCTCTAACGATACCCAATTGTGGTTTTCCAGCCAATGAGCTGTAACTGTAATAATTTTAACAGCTGTCGGACGAGTGGTTTGGGAATAACAGCAGTCTGAATTTAGTTTCAGTTTTTTCATCTCACCCTTTTTTCAAACTTAGATCGAGCTCGGAGATGGATAATAAAGGTTCACTCCTTCTGGTAGCTCCCCCACAAAGGTCAAATATTTAAAAAAAAAAATTATTTTCCAAAAATGTATCATCCAATTTTGTTCAAATTTTGTAATTATTTATCAGTGAAAAAAGAAAATCGACAATATTGACCCACTGCATAAATATTTATAACTCATAAAATATACGAAATAAGCATCCGATTTTCTTCAAATTTCACACATTCCAATATGTCTGTGAACACATAATAAGGTGTGAATATAGGATTTATTGGTCCACTACTTCGGATACCTCCCCCACAAGTTGATCAAGATTTTGAATACATATGAAACTCATAAAACGCGAAATAAGCTTCCGATTATTTTAAACTTGGCACATCCTAATATTTCTACTAACACAAGACCTGGTGTGAAGATGAAACACATCAGACCACTCCTTCTTGTACCTCACCCATAACGGGCAAAATATTGAACAATTATAAATCTTAAAATTTATAAAAGAAACACTGGATTCTATTGAATCCAATATGTTTACTATCGCAAGATTTGGTGTGACGATGATAGATATCGGTCAACCCCTTCTGGTATCTCCCCCACAAAGGGTCACAATTCTCAATATTTATATCGCTTGTAATTTGCGAAACAAGTCAGCGATTCTAAAGTTGGTAACTTGACATTTGATGTGAATGTAGAGTTTATGGGCTCACCCCTTGTGGTAGTTCATCCCAATATTTTCTTCAGTATTAGATGTAGTGGAGTTCATCAGTCCACTATATCTGGTACCTCACGCACATTCCTTAATTTCCCCGAAATTATTACATTCTCCATGTAAAAGTGAATCAAGTAGCCAATTTCAACATTTTGATGATTGTAGCCAAAATTTTCAAGAGAATTGTCTGAAAATCCACACAAGGAATTCCTTCTGAGTAATTTATCCCCTGTAAGAGACTTGTCTATATGGGTTCACGATATCATATAGCCACCACAAAACGGTACACCCTGATATTCGTTATTTGGATGATTTTTGGGGACATTATTCACCGGACTTGTTTCAAATTTCGTATTTGAAGTTCGTGATGGGTACTAGGGCCTATGCCAAAAATTTGACTATGCATGTCTTCGTATAGCCCCCAATATAACGGCTACATTCAGTATCTTTAAGATTTTAACAGAATTTTTAACGGATTTTTTTTTATTTATTTATTTTTTTTTTTTTTGAAAATTTTCAAGTTCCTTCCGAATGGTGGAGAGCGGTTTTTATTTTATTGAAAATTGCCAAATTCGTTACAATGTTAATTTTTTTTCATTTGAAGACCTCTTGGCGAACAATTATGCGTTGAGAATATTTTTGTGGATTTTGAAGATATTTTTGAAGGATCTTCTGAGATAAAATTATGGTATTGAGAATTTATTACTAAGAATGAATTTTCATGAATTACTTCAACCTATCTAACAAAATATTTTAAACCATTAAAAAATGACCTTTTAATGGATATTTTCAAAGACCTTCGCACTAAAAATCGTAGCTAGTTTCAAGAATATTTTAACAAGTTCTTTAAAAACAAAAATCCTTAATTTTCATTAAAGATATAATTTAAGAAAATTTGTTAATCTAAATCGAAAATTTCGATTTGATCAAAAAAATTATATCTTCTTTGTTATAACAGTTTTTTAAGAACTTCTTAATAAAAAATCATTTTTCAATGTATTATTATTTTTTTTTATTATTAAAACTCTTTATACTTTTAACAATTACAAGAAATAAACAAATCATTTTTATTTATTACTTTCCAGCCCTCGGCGGTGGTACGCACATAATACGTTCCTGTTATTTTGGTGATACCGTCAACACAGATAATGGCTGTAAACTGGATCCCAAAAGTGCCGATTCTCTGGGATCATGCTATGTTTGCACAAAGGATTGGTGTAATGGTTCATCATCAATGGCTCAACTGGGAGTGGGCTTCATTTTGTTATTGGCCTTGGCTCAAATTATCTGCTAAACAAATTAGTGGAGAGCAACCTCGTTAGTTGCAATTGTTTGTTGTATTTTGTTATTTGTTGTTGTTACCAGAAAAAAATAATAAACAAGACTGCTAAAGCAATATTTATTTTTGTATATGTTTTTAAGTTTCGAAAGGCTTTTTATGCATTTCATGTTTTTATTTTTGACATAAATAAATGGAATAATGAATGAAAAGTCAAGGTGTCATTTTTAATTGAATGGAGAAAAGTGGGTAAAATGGTGTACTTGAAGAAAACAATGGCTGATTGATGCTTTGAACCATGTAAAACTATTCTAAAAATTTTATAACAAAATATTGATCTCCATTAATACATTAAAATTCAATGAATATGTAACATACATTTTTAGAGATATTTAACGACGTATCTCTAGCTAAAAAAATTGGATTGTTTGAGAATATATTTTTAAAAAAATTAAAAAAAAACGATTTTTTAATAAGATCTTTTCAAGGACCTAGAAAAAGTAAAATTTTTATAAGGAATTCTCAGACAACACTCACAGACTTGTTAAGAAAAGAACTTCCTAACCAAAAATCTTAGATTCTTTAAAAGGGCTCCCTAGGCTACAAGCTCGGTATTTTTAAGGACTTCCCAATCAAAAATGTTAAATTTTTAAAAGGTATCGAGATCTTCCTTAACAAGAAATGGTTGTTTACACTTCTTTGAAGGGCCCCTGACAAAAAATAGTGGATTTCCAAAGCATTCGTTTAAGGATGTTAGAAAATCCACTATTTTTGGTCAGGTCCCCTTCAAAATCAGTTTATCGATAAGCAAGACCTCGATACCTTTAAAAATGTTAAATTTTTGTTTGGGAAGTCCTTGCAAATATGTCCTTAAAATGTCCGGCTTTGTTGCCTGGGAACATTTCTTGATTTCTTCCGGAATATTTTTTCCATGCTCTACCAGGACAAAAGTTACAGAGTTTCTAAAAAAATGTATTCCTCAACACATATTTATACCCTAGACCAAACTCTGGTCAGGGTATACAGGGTGAGAAAAAAAGGCTCGTGGCCGAAAATGGCTCGTGAGCTGAACATATCGCAATATTCCATTCGGCAAGTTTTAAAAATTGAGCTGGGGGTTAAGCCATTGAATTTCAAAAAGTGCAAGAACTTAAACCTGAACGGATAGAAAATAGACTCAAAAGAGCTAAAGAGTTGCTTGCCTTGGCCGAAAGTGGTGAACTGACGAATTTGGTTTTCTCCTATGAGAAAACATTCGTTGGCTAGCAGTTTGTAAACAAAGAAAATGATCATGTTTACTTGCCAAAGAGGTCAGCTGAAAAATGTGTACCTTCGGTTGGCCACCAGTACTCAAGCGCCGTCCATGGTGATGGTGTGGGCCGCCATAACAGCCGATGGTCGCTCTCCGCTCGTATAAATGGCATCAGAATAAATGCCGAGTATTATCGCGAAAATATTCTGGAGGGTGTATTAAAGCCTTGGGCACGCAAAAATTTTGGCCGCAGAACTTGAACATTCCAGCAGGACTCAGCACGCGCCACCCAAGAATGGTTACATACACCAAAATCTCCGGATACTATCTGTTGGAATATTGTGTCTGGAGTATTTTGGAAAGCAAGGTTGGTACTAAATATACAAAAGTGTCGATCACCTCAAGCAAGAGCTTCGCAGGGGATGGGTCAAAATACCGCAGAGCAACAATCGGGCAGCGCATGGCGGTTTCATTGGCCTTTCGAAGGCCATAATTCATGCCAAAGGTGACCAATTCGAACAAATCTAAACTTATTCTAAAATTTGAGGTTATTTCCGACATTTTTTGCTTTCATTCAATAAAATTAAAAAAAAAGAAGTAAAAAACCTGTAGGTTGGTACAAATTTAACAGTTTAAAAAAAAATAAAATCCGTTAAAAATTCTGTTAAAATCTTAAAAATACCGGATGTAGCCGTATATAAGGGTCTATACGACGACGTGGACCTACGTGGCCCATTTTCTGTTTTATGCTGTAGTATCTATTACGAACTTCAAATACCAAATTTGGTGCACCAAATTTGAAACAATTCCGGTAAATAATGTCGCTAAAATCATTAAAATACGGAATATCGGGAGGTACCGTTATAATGGGGCTATACGAAGACGTGGTCCTACATGGCCCATTTTCAATACCAAAAGTCCTGCAGACATAATACATATTTGAGTAAAATTTTATCAACCTACTTCATTTCATTAGGAAGCTAGAGTGATTTCCACGGAGGGACAGACGAACGGACATTGACAAAGAATTTTATGCTGATCAAGAATATATATACTTTGTGGAGTCTAAAATCTAATATACCCTCCATACTATGGTGGAGGTTATAAAAAAACAAAAATGTAAAAATTATGGTGTTTGACTTTGGTGCAGTTTCTTTTTTATCTCACCCTGTATATATAATCTGATACGGGCAAAATGTGCCTCATCGAAATAACGGTTTAGTTTTAGGACATTTGTAGTCAATCTAGCGATGTCCGTCCGCCGGTCCGTCTCTCTGTCTGTCTGGTTTAAATTTATTTATTTGGTTTAAATTTTCTAAATCTATTTTCCATTCCAACCTAATATTTCATCTTGCGAGTACACCCTCTCTTTCTCACTCTTAATTTCAAAACAAAAATATTACACTCAACCAAACAGAACTCAATAGCGACAATTCAATGATCACCCAAAAGAGAAATCTAAGAGACACACAGATTCTCAAACAAACAAATTTTCAGTTAATAGATTTTTTTAGACAATAGGCAATAGACTTCCACACATCTGGCACGGCAAAATATTCAAATTGTGTATCTTAAAGTGTTCACATCGGTTCGGCGTTGGTGTTTTGGAAATTCTGAAAAAAAAAATAAAATATATAAAAAATTGTGCGGTTTTTTTTTTCTCAAAAAATCATGGCTACTACAAAATATTTGTTGATCTTCGCTGTTGTGGTGGCATTGGCCAGCTCTGGTATGTTCTAATTTTTGGTTACATTATCAAAAGTTATTTTAATTGTTTTTATTAATTTTTCTATTAGCTTTGGCCATCCGTTGCTACCAATGTACCTCCTTGCAAAACTCGAAATGCGGTGAAAAATTCGAATCCGATGACAGTTTGAAAATGGACTGCAATCGTGTCAGTGCCCCATTCTATTTGTTGCCACTGTTGAATGGTCGCAGCATTAATGCCACCGGTTGCATGAAACAGACGCTGGAATCAAGTAAGTTTACGTCATTTTGAGTGCGAGTGTGTGTGTCGGTGTTGCGTTTTTTCTCGTTTTTGTTAATTGTTGTACCGGCTGTTATAATATTGGGCAATATATTTTTTTTTTTTTTTGTTCGCATATAAATATATGCATCATATAAATACGTATTTATGTACGGCTGTGTTTGTCGTAATTTTGGAAATACCCATTTGTGTGAGCAACTACTTGAGAACTAAGTATTTATAAAAAATAGACATCTGGAAATTCTCCCACAAGACTTATACAAAATATCTTAGAAAAATTGTTTAGCGGACCCGTATACCCGGATTTTTGATCCGGGTCTATGACCCGGGTTAGACCTGGACCCATAAAACCGATATGGATATTTGAAAGCTAATAAAACGAAATTCAACAATTGGTCACTTGATGGTATTATTTAAATGGTCCCAGAGTTGTATCAAAATTATGGATTTTTTGGACCCGGATTTATTAAAAATCCCCCAAAAGTCGAAAAAGGCCTTTTTGGGGGTCCTCAAATCTATGCCGAATTATTTTGCCACTATAACCTTTTCAAAATTCTACAAAATATGTTACTATCTTTCTTGGATCAGGGTAACCGGTGTTAGACAACCCAGAGTTGAAAATTTCAAGTCCCGACCGAATTCTGGCAACTTAAAAGGAGTAACAAATTTATTTCGCATAGCCGGTGTTGGACACACCTTGAGGAGGAAATCAATTTAGGAAAACTGAACAGAATGTCGTGAATATAATCGGCTCTCTGTACCCAAGAAAGATAATAACAATTATTTTAGAATTTGGAAAGCAATAGTGTCAACAATAATTTGGCATACATTTTGTGGACTTAAAAAATGGGGATTTTTGACTTTTGGTGGATTTACAAAAAAAAAACAGGTCCAAAAAATCAATAGTTTCGATACACCTTCGCAACCGTTTTAAGTAACACCATGTGAACACTTATTGAATAGGTATTTTTATTATATTGTCCATATCGGTTTAGTAACTCCGGTTCTAGTCCGGGACTTAGACCTGGTCATTCAAGTCAAATATTCTGGTGCCCAGATCCGTCCTACAAGAAAAAAATACTTTCCCGGAATCAAGGTATAAATACTTGCCTCTGAAAAAAATTAAAGAAGATCCGAGAGTTTTTACGTAATTTGAGCTCTGTTGTTCTCAAATTTGGTCGATAAACCAATACCTAAAAATACTGAATATTTTTACCATTCAGCCTTGAGATGTTTCGGAACTTTCTAAACAACTCAGATCTTTCTGACATTACCACTATATGTGGATTATGCCAAAATGCAAATCGATACCAAAAAAATTACAGGTCGAATTTTACCCAGTTACGAAATTACTATCGAGTCTGCTGAAGGTTGGAGCTAGACCCATAAATATATAGAAATATATAAGAAAAAATTGTAATGAATGAGGTCGGAAAAGGCTTAGAAAACCTTAAAATACTTAAATTTCAAGCGCAACATTATAGCGAATGTCTAGAATTGTTTTTTTTTTTTGCGAGGAGTAAGATACAACTGCAAAGCCAAACTCTCAAAATACATTTTACTAGCCTGTAAATTTGAAAAAAAAAATTAAAAAGTACCGAAGATTGATTTTCCGATAATATCGTTTAGTGAATATATTACTAGTGACGATGTGGTAGTAACCACTTTGTGTATATGGGGGAAATACTATATATCGTAGTGGTATTTTTATTTAATTATTTCCAAAATATTCAAAACACATCCATAGCGACATATGTATGTGCATATAGAGGTATACATTATTGCTGGGGTAATTTAACTGAACTCTTGATCTTCTAGTTTGTGCAATATTGAAAATATATGAGACAGTGGGTCAAAAACGACTGTTGCTACGATGGAAGTACCTGTAGATGGTGTTCTTTAGATAGAAGACTTTGAAAAGGACTTCTATAGGTAGAAAGTCTTAGAAAACAGCAAAGGTCCTTTAAGTATTTCTAAATATTTTTCTCTACCAGAGATCTGATGTAAATATGGATTTTTCTGCCCACCCCTTCTGATACCTCCATCACATAAATAACAATTTTGATTTACAGTTATTTAAATCGTAATAGAAATATATGTTCGATTTTCTTTACATTTTCCACATTCCAATATTTTTATAGGTATTAGATGAAGTGGAATACTTTGGTCCTGTTTTATTCAATTTGACTTACAATATTGAATTGTAAATTATGCAATACATTTTTCACAATACGAAACTATGTATTGGGGCTATTATATTCAGGTCGCAATTATCTTCCGATCTTCATGAAATTTTATATGGTGGTAGGGTTAGGGTCGGAATAAAAAAAAGGTTCTTGGAGATGATCGCAAAATATTTAGGGTTTAATGCGGATCAGATATCTAGATGTCTAGATTTTGCAATCGCACTCCAGGACTGCAATTTCATACGAGGTTAGTGTTTAGGACATGATCATGGTAGGACATGACAGGTCTTTGGTTAGTGAAATGAACAACCAGTGTATGGGTCTGTTCTTTCCGAACGATCAAATTAGGTATTTGACGTTGTGGGAACATTTGACTCGTGAAATGCCGATAATTTTTAGAAATCGTATGTTTTTGAAAATATTGGTTCCGGATCTCTGATGATTACTTGAAAACAGGAGCAATTAGGTTCAACATTTACATTTACTATGTAACAGATATGGGGATGTTTCCTAGGGGAAACTTCATTTTAGTCAAACTGATTTCAGATCAGCAAAACTTTACCTAAATTGCAGTTTTAGAGGGTATCAAATTATAGGCCCGCACGTCTATAGCCTTTACTTACTTACTTTTTTCAAATATTCTCAATAATTTTTCAAAATTGCTTCAGATTTCTTTCAAAATATTTTGCATCCTAACCAATGAAATCCCTTACCCTGAATATAGGTCTTTTTTTAACTCGTCAAGGACTTCCCGACTAAAGCGGCGAAACTTGAACAATCCTAAAAATTCAAAATTCATATCTTATACTTTTTTGTGAATCTTATATAAGGAGAAAGAAGGTGGTCTCCGATTTCATTAAAATTTGCTTTTTTTCAATATTTTTAAATATCAAAAAAATATTTTTTTTTTCAAAATCCAAAAAGTTATTTTTTAAGATATTTAATTATACCCTACAACAGTATGTGTAGGGGGTACTGTAAGTTTGATTGGACTAAGAATTATGTATGCCGAGCTGAGTCGATCTAGCTATGTATGTTCGTCCGTCTGTCTATGTTGATTTGTAGTTACGCTACAGGTCGCAATAATATGAAATTTTGTTAATTTTTCTTTTCATTTTTTGACATTTTTTTTATTGAATGCGATTTTTTTCAATTTCACTTTCAATTTTGGGTTCATTAAGTTTTTCTACATCCTGCAGCACTATGTGTTGAGGGTGTTATATACAGGTTGCAATTATCGTGCGATGCTCACGAAATTGTGCATGGAATTAGGATCAGAATTAAAGCCTATTATTTATGGACCAAAAAATTAAATTTTTTTCCGATTTTGCTGTCAATCTAAAGGTCATAATTAAAAACCAACCGAACTGGAATTTTGAATGAGAAGAGACTTAAGTTCAAGTAAGAAGTCTTGGAATTTGAATGACTATTGGATTATATTTAGCTGTACAAACGACAACACGACGGAATGTGTAAACATTCTAAAAATACCACCGGTCAAAAAGCTAAGGGTAGGGCTCGATGACATCATAACAAAAACGAAATCTTCCAAAATGGATTTGAACATAAGGGGCCTTTTAACATGTTGTAGCGGTGTAGGGCACAACCATAGCCTTTGTTTACATGTTTTTGTACCCTCCACCATACTATGGAGGGTTAATATACCCTGCCCCTTTGTAACTCCTCGAAATACTCATGTCAGACCCAACAAAGTATATATATTCTCTATCAACGTAAAATTCTAAGTCGATTTAGCGATGTCCGTCTGTCTGTTGTAATCACGCTACCTTTCGAACGAATTGAGATAGAAGGCTAAAACATGTTTATTTTTCCAGTAGTAGTTAAGTACGTAAATGAACCATGTAGGTCAACATTTTCATATAGCCCCCATACAACGGCTCTACCAAATCGTGGACCTGGAAGGTTCCGACAACGGAGCTAGAACCCATTATGACCTACAAATACCAATTTTCAGACAAATACGTGAAAAAAAGGGTCAAAAATCATCAAGTTACCGAATATCGGGAGGTACCGTTATATGGGGGCTATACCAAAACGTGGACCTATAATTACAATGACTCGCCACACGAACTGGGACCCATTATGATCTACAAATACCAAATTTTCAGTGAAATTCGTGAAAAAATCAGTCAAAAAACATCAAAATATCGAATATTGTGAGCTACCGTTATATGGGGACTATACCAAAACGTGGACCTATACATACAATGTTTCGCCACACGAACTAGGACCCATTATGACTCACAAATACCAATTTTTACACAAATCAGTGAAAATATGTTGCAAAAACCATCAAAATACCGAATATCGGGAGGTACCGTTATATGGGGGCTATACCAAATCATGGACCCATACATGCAACGTTTCGCCACCGGAGCTGGAACCAATTATGACCAACAAATACCAATTTTTAGACAAATCCGTTAAAAACTGTGGCAAAAATAATCAAAATATCGAATATCGGGAGGTACCATTATATGAAGGCTATACCAAAACGTGGACCTATACATGCTATGTTTTGCCACACATACAGGGACCCGTTATGACCTACAAATACCAATTTTCAGACAAATCCGTTAAATAATGTGGCATAAATCATCAAAATACCGAATATCGGGAGGTACCGTTATATGGGGAATATACCAGAACGTGGACCGATTTTCAATACCAACCATCCTAGACACAATACCAATTGCTCTGCTAAATTTTGGCGCTCTACGTCAAATAATGTGGGCTGTATCGTGATTTCAGCAGACAGACAGACAGACGGACAGGCAGACGGACATCGTTAAATCGACTTAGAATTTTATGCTGATTATGAATATATGTACTTTATGGGGTCTACGACGAATATTTAAGGATGTTACAAACGGAATGACAAAGTTAATATACCCTCCTTTCCAAGGTGGAGGGTATAAAAATATACATTTTGAGGAACATTCTTACCCGAAATCATGGTTTTGTTTCAGAAAACTTTTAAAGAATCCTTTTTAGACAAAAATTTTTAAGATCATTTTGAAAGCGTCCTGGCTAATGGATTTACTGCATATAAATCATGACTATTTAAAAATCATGGACTTTTTAAAATATTTTTTTGGGAATTCATGCTCAAAAATCGTGTATTCTTTAAAAGCATTTTTAATTTATATTAAATTTATTGATTTAAAAAATATGGATCTCATATCTTAAAATCCCGAATTGTGTAATAAAAAAATAATCGTGGATATTTAAGCATATTCACTTTTTTCATATATATAGGTCATATTTTTATGTTATTTATTTATTACTAGCTGGCCCGGTCCGCGTTGCCGGCCCCTACTTTTAGTTTTTAATGCATATTTTTTAAGGCATTATAGAACACTGATCTGAATGATTTCAAAATAGTCAAAGATAATTGGTCTTTTACACCCATTACCTTAAGATAGGAATTAATTTATTTTTGTCATTTAAATTGTGTGTTGGAAAACCCATAAAGTCCATATTTTTCTTCATAGTATAATTCAATAACGATCCATAAAATAATATTCGTGATTTTTTCATGTTTCTGCCACAATTTGATATTTCGGAGATCAAAGCATGTAGACGTACATCCCACATCTACGTTCCCAGGCAATATTCTCTTGTGAGTTAAAAATTCAATAGTATACCAAATTTTTTTTTTCTGACCAAACATTGGTTAGGAAGGTGGATTTGCGGGTACACTAATGTGGGAACTATACTCAAATAAATGCCTATGTGGACAATTATCTGTAAGACGATTCTCTATCCCAGAGTAGCCTAAATACAATTTTTTAGCCAAATCAATTGATGAATGTGATCAAGACCAAGATGGACTCTACTCCAAAAGTCAAATTTTATTAGAAGAGGTTTTTTACACCCGTAGAAACAAAGATGCCAAATAAAGGCCTGAAAAATGAAAGAAAAATGTCGAAAACCCCGAATATAGCTTAAATTATATAATGGTTATACCAAAACGTGATCATTTTTTGCGAGGATGGTTTCTTCTCAAATTACCAACTTTTGCTAAAATGCATATGAGTAAAATATGGTTAAAATGTAAACTATACTTGAAAAAGGAGTGTACCCTTATCCGGGGGTCATATATCGTGACCTGCAAAAGCGATTTAAGATATCTTGAAAGTTTTTTTTTTTCCTAAATGTCCAATTCGCTCTACCATTTTGCACCCTTTATATTCAGTATTTCACTGATTGCAATTCCAATGAATTGCATTTTGAGTTCTCATTGGGCGGATTATTGTAATATGAAAGAAATAGGTCCACATATAAGGGTTATACCAAAGCATGGTCCTATTCTTATAATTATTTGAAAAAATGTGTTGTTCTTCTTAAAATCTCAAATTACCAACATTTGATATACATCTGATATATATTTGAACAACTGATTATTCATGAAACCCCTAGGAAAAATTTAAAACTCTATGGTAACTTTTGCGAAGTATAGAGCAAAATATTTGAGGCCCTTTGTGTTTGGTTAAACTATATAAAATGGACCCTAAAAACGTTTGATCCCCCCTTTTTGGGATTGTTATGTACCAACCAAACTGACTACTGATGATAGCGCATAGTCACCGTATAACGTTTCATGGGAGTTAAGGTTACTTTTAAGGTTTCGGAAGAATTTTCCGAGGAAATGTATCCTTTTCTTTCCAAATTTTCAATTTGCTCCACTATTTTATATAGTTCGCATATAACAGTGCTCTTCATATTCGGTATTTCACTGGTTGCAGTCCCAATGAATTTTGCATTTTAAGTTCTCATTGGATGGATTATTTCCATATCTAGTCAATTTCCATTGATTTTTTTTTTCGATTTTTCCCGATTTGAGAATTTTTGCCATTACATCTCTTTTATCGTGTTTTTAGCGATTTTGAAAAAGTAATTATCTTTTAACATTGGTCTAACCGCGTTAAGTTATTTCGATATCATTTGACTGACTTCCATGCAACCCGCCATGAATTTCAGTTCTCAAGAAATCAAGTCAATTAAATAAATTGGTATTAATATTCGAATTAAAAAAAAAATATAAAAAAAAACACTACAAATGTACATTAGAAAAAAGTAAGTCAAAATGGAAAAAAAATCATGCAAAATAAAACATTACTATTGTACATTTCATAAGTCAAAATGAAAATGTTAATATATCACATTTTTACGCGATTTTTTTGGATATTATCCTTTTCGGAAAAGAGACAATTCCGAATTTGTTTGAATCGTTAAAATCTGTCCAGCGGTTCTTAAGTTATAAGCGTAGTAACTAACACAACTTCCTTTTATATATATAGATTATTATCTTATTTTATTTATTTATTTATTTATTTTTTTTTTTTTTTTGTTTTAATAATAAATAAATTAACTGTTATAAATCGTTTTTCCTCGTCGTATCAATCCCCTGCAAGGCACTGTTCGTTCTCATGAGTTTCTTCAATTGGCATCGTACAAAACGACTGCGATGATGTCAGGTTTGTTTATATTTTTTGATTTGTGTGCGATGCGTATTTTCAAGTATGTTTGTAATTATTCATGAGGGTGTGAGGGCGGGGTGTTTTGTCGTCCAATAGACCACAATTGTAAGGGATTTCATTAAGACGTTTGTTAAGTAGATTTTGTTGGCTTTGTTACTGCGTAGTTAACCATTTTAAATTACCAAGTTTTGTTTTGTGTTCCAACGTGTTAGCAAATTTTTTATGGCAAGTTGAGGTGAAGTGTGAAGAACTCAAAACTAGAGTAGAAAAAAATTACAACGTATTTTCAAAAAATCACGTTGGATGATGATGAGAATTTAATTCATTGGAAACAAAAAATAAATGGTCAACAACGATATTCATTGATAATAATAAAATATTCTCCATGCCAAACCACTCCCCAGTTTGAATTTTTTTTTTTTGAACAAATAAAAATATTTAAAACCGGTCTCTATGAATTCTACAATTCAGTGTGGGAATATAGAACTTTTTTTGTTAAATGAGAATAAATAAATATAAATATTTTTTATAACCTTTATTAAAAGACTTGAGCTTGTTAGCTCTCATAATGAATGAAATATATTTAACGGAATATTTTTTTTTTATTCTCCTTCTGTTTTACAGCTTTGGGTGGCGGCAAACACATTCTACGTTCCTGCTACTTTGGCGATATCTCTCACACGGAAACCGGTTGCAAGACAGATCCCACAAACTACGGCGTCAAGCAGTTGTCATGCGATGTTTGTAAAGACAATCTCTGCAATACCTCCTCATCGATGAGTCCATTTGTTGTTGGTTTGATTTGCTTCTTTGGTTTGGCTCGTATTTTATCGTAAAAATTAAATATTTTTTTGTTAAATATAAAAATTCTGTGTAAATATCTTTAAAATTGTATTTTATTGACAAAAAAAAAAAAAAATAAAATTGATTTAAAGTAATTGAAATTATTGTTATTTTCTGTAAATAGTCATACAAATGGATAAGATATAGTTCAAAAAGTCAACCCTACATCACTATGCAGATTTAGTAGAGCTCCGTAACAAAATAATTTATTTGAAGTAGATATAGTTTGGTTTCAGAGGGAACTACTACTATATGGGAGGCATATCCAATTCTGAATCGATTTTCACTAAATTTGATGGAGAAATTTTAATCTTTTATATCAAACACATGACTACAGAGTGCATAATATCACTTCGAGAAGGATTATATTAAAAAATGTATCTCGCACTAAATGGAAACTCACGTCCCAAAAATCACTCGATATTAGCCATTATTGGCTGATATTAGCAATTATTGGCACAATAAATCTGAAATGGTATTAAGGATATAATCCGATTTAGCCGTTCTCGATAAAATTTGGCAAAAGTATTTCCGACCTCTATAAGATATCTGGTACCAAATATCATTGTTGTCGAATGCATATTACGCTATATCTGAACCAATTTTCACCAAAGTTAATATACTTGCTTCTAGACTGAATTCGGTCGGATTTGCCAAAATTCAGATCATTTGGACTGATATTGGCCATTTTGTGCACAATTAACCGGAAATCGGTTGAAGATAATACGGGAACTAAATACAAATCTGAACCGATCTTGATACAACTTGGCAGAGGCATTTCTGGGCTGCATCTGATATCGTATACCAAAGATCATTTTTGGGAGGTGCATATTACGAATTTGATGGACTTAAATACCAAATCGGATTAAACCTATATATAGGAGCAATAGATATGTCTGAACCGATTTTCTCCGAACTTTTGCTTGCTTCTAGAGTGGATTCGGTGAGATGTACCATTTGGACTGTTAATGGCCATTTTGTACAGCAACATAGACAGAAATGGTTCGAAAAGTAAAGAAGCGACTTGATCGAAACCCGCGTCGCAGTAGCCGTAAAATGGTTCGTGAGCTGAATATATCGCAATATTTCATTCGGCAAATTTTGAAAAAGGCCATTGAAATTCCAAAAAGTGCAAGAACTTACACCCCAATAGAATGAAAATAGACTCAAAAGAGCTACAGAGTTACTTCGCTTGGCCGAAAGTGGTGAACTGCCGAATTTCGTTTTCTCCGATGAGAAAACATTCGTTGCCCAACAGTTTGTAAACAAACAAAATTATCGAGTTTACTTGCGAAAGTGGTCAGCTAAAAATGTGCACCTTCGGTTGGCCACCAGAACTCAAGCGCCGGCCATGGTGATGGTGTGGGCCGCCATAACAGCCGATGGTTGCTCTCCGCTCGTATTAATCGACCGTGGCATCAGAATAAATGCCGAATATTATCGCGAAAATATTCTGGAGGGTGTATTAAAGCCTTGGGCACGCAAACATTTTTGCCGCAGACCTTGGACATTCCAATAGGACTCAGCACCATCGCACTCAGCACGCGCCACCCAAGAATGGTTACAAAATGTGGTTTCTTGCTTCATTTCCAGCGCACGATGGCCACTAAAATTTCCGGATACCGATCCGTTGGACTATTGTGTCTGAAGTATTTTGGAAAGCAAGGCTGGCACTAAAAAATACTAAAGTGACAATCACCTCAAGCAAGCGCTTGAGGGCCACAATACCGTAGAGCAACATGAGTAATCAAAATACCGAATATTGGGAGGTAGTGCTATATGGGGACTATACGAAGAGGTCCGCATAGTCAAGTTTCTATCGCAGGCTGTAGTACCGGTTACGAACTTTTATTACGAAATTTGAAATAATTCCAACGTCTCTAAAATCATCAAAATACCGAATATAGGTAGGTACACCTGTATGAGGCCTACGCGGAGATCCAGACATGCATTGGCTGTTTGCAGTCACAGGCTATAGTGCCCGTTACGAAGTGCAAATATGAAATTCCGGTGAATAATGTCATATGAAATCACCAAAATATCGAATATGGGGAGGTATTGTTATGTGGGAACTATACGAAGACGTGGGTCCGCACAGTCAATTTTCTGTCACAGGCTGTAGTACACATTACGAACTTTTATTACGAAATTTGAAATAATTCCGGTGACCAAGTCGCTCAAATCATCAAAATACCGAATATAGGGAGGTACAATTATATGGGGGCTATAGGGAGACCTGGACATGCATGGACAATTTTCTGTCACAGGCTATAGTACCCGTTACGAAGTGCCTCAACGATATAACGGTTTTAGAACCTAGGCTACTTCGGACCAAATCCGTTTCAGTACATTTGGAATCGATCTAGCGATGTCCGTCCGTCTGTTTGTCTGGCTGGTGCGAACGATAACTCTCGAAGGGAGTCTTCAAATTTCACACATCAGAATATTTTCATCACCCACCCACGGGAGTGAAGATGGAATATATCGGTTCACTCCTTCTGGTATCTCCCCACAGACTGTAATTATTTAGAATATCCATGAAGCTCATAAAATACGAAATTAACATCCGATTTCATTCAGACTTGGCACATCTGTGAATTTTCAGCAACACAAGATCTGTTATAAAGATAGTAGAGGTTCGATCACTCCTTCTGGTACCTCCCCCACAAAAAAGGATCATAAAATACAAAATAAGCATCCGATTCTCTTAAAATTATACACATCAGAATATTTTTATTAACTCAAGGTGTGTTCTGAAGATGGAATATTCATCAGACTTGGTACATCTCAATATTTCCGTCAACACAAGATCTATTATAAAGATGGTAGAGATCGAACCATTTCTTCTGGTACCTCCCCCACATAGGGTTCAAAATTTAATAGTAAGCATTCAACTCTCTTTAAATTTCACACATCCAAATATTTTTGCTAACGTGAGATCTTTTGTGAAGATGATATATATCTGCCAACAGTTTGAATAATCATAACTCAAGGCTGGGGGCATACATCTGTGGGAAAACCCGACAGATACTATTTTACTTGTTTGGACCCAATCAAATACTCCCTTGGAGAGTTATCGTGCACACCAGCCAGGCACACGGATGGATGGACAACCATAGATCGACCCCAAATCGGGACATTCGGACTTGGTCCTAAAGACCTAGAGTCTAAAACGAGACACGTTTTGTTCGTATGAAATGATATATAGCCTCTGTACGCATATGGTTGAGGGTATAAAAAAGTATTTTTTTCAATAAAAGAACTACAAAAAAAGCCTACAAATGTATACTTCTTGTCATACCGCACCTGTATTTATTCGTCCAAAAATAAAAAATAACCCGAAAATTTGTTTCCGACCCAGAAGATCTGTAAAACAATCATCTTGCCCATAATAGTAATTAATTATTTTTATTATTATTATTATTATTATTATTATTATTATTATTATTATTATTATTATTATTATTATTATTATTATTATTATTATTATTATTATTGTTATTATTATTTATTATTATTATTATTATTATTATTATTATTATTATTATTATTATTATTATTATTATTATTATTATTATTATTATTATTATTATTATTATTATTATTATTATTATTATTATTTTTATTATTTTTTATATTATTATTATTATTATTATTATTATTATTATTATTATTATTATTATTATTTTTTATATTATTATTATTATTATTATTATTATTATTATTATTATTATTATTATTATTATTATTATTACTATTATTTTTTTATTATTTTTTTTTTTTCTTTTTTTTGAAATTCAAACGTAACAGCCATTCCAACAAAAGCTCCACGAAATTCGAATAATTTCAAAACTCGGGCTTTTTCCAACATCGAAAAGCTTCCATTAAGTTGCCTCTCTCGCATTGCAGAGTAAACACACAGAGAACGAAAACGAAATAAACAAAACACAAAATTTCGAAATACTTACAAAGAAATATGGAAATAAAAAAGAACTAAAAAACAGACGACAGCCAGACAGGGAAGGTCGATGAAGGCAGGCAGTACATAAACACGAAAATTTTCCAAAGAAGACCGACAACAAAAATATTTCAACTCAGCTATTTGAGTCTGTGGTGTCAATTACTAAACAAATGTCGTCCATAACAAATTGGTTGATGGTGGCCATAGTGGCCACCAGTTTGGTGGGAAATGGTAATATCGCAATACTTTAATATTGGAAAACAACTAAATATCATTTAAATTTTCGATTTTTAGTTTTTGCCATCCAATGCTATCAGTGTGAATCAGGGCAAAACTCAAAGTGCGGCCTACGTTTCGAACCGGAGGAGAGCATGAAAATCGATTGTAGTTCAAGTAAACCACCACGTCATATAAGAAACGCTCTGGATGGTCAGAATATGGAAGCCACGGGTTGCATGAAGCAAACATTGGAGAGCAGTGAGTCCGATATTTTAATTTATATATTTATTTTGTAAAAATCTTGTGTATTCAGTGGCCTGTGATAAGACACTTGTTTACGGGCATGCTTTGTTTATAGGGAAATGAATTTATCACCACTACAGTGGTTGACAAAAGATTGTGTCACAAAAAATATTGAAGAAGAATTCTCTAGTACTGAGCAACACAAAAAAATAATTACAGCAAAAATCATGCAGATTACACAGTGCAACGCAAAAAATAATTACGGGGAAAATCCATCAGAAAGTAGAGCTGAAAATAGAAGGCATGTGTATCGGCGTTTCTAAGATTAACGTCGCAAAGTAACCTAAATAGATAGGCTCCCCTATTCCACATTTTTTTGGCATTTTCAAATGAAGATTCCTTGAAATCTGTTGATTTTAGGTATATAGTGCCTTTGGCAATAATGCAGCTAAAAACTAGGGGATTATTTTGGTCGATAACTTTAAATCTCAAGCGAGCTAAAAAAGAGGAATGCTTGGTTCTTAAAAAGGTTTAGAACTTACTTTTTACGAGATTGTATTATTCGGAATATTCTACAAATTTATTTGTCATATAATTTTACTACCAGTAGAAGAGTTGGAAATCGGCAAAAATAAGGCAGTAGGGAAAAGTCAAAAGTCGGGCAAGGCCAACTATATGATACCCTACACCACTATTCATATTTAGTAGAGCTCCCGTCACAAAAGAATTTATTTCAAGTTTCACCTATCAACATTTGGCTTTAGAGCAGTTATAGTTTGCTACAGAGTGCATGATATCACTTAGAGGAGGATTATATAAAAAAACTATATATCGGAGCTGAATTGCACAAAATGGAAACGTACGACCCGAATTTCACTCCACTTGAGGTGAAATTAGCCATTATTTGCACAATGAACCTGAAATCGGATTATGGATATATATGGGACCTATATCCAAATCTGAACCGATCTTAATAAAATTTGCCAGAGGTATTTTTGGGCTGTATCTGATAACTGGTGCCGAATATCATTGTTGTCGAATGCATATTACGAATGTGAGGGGAATTAAACACCAAATCAGATGAAACATATATTTGGGAGCTATAGCTTTATCTGATCCGATTTTCACCAAATTTAAAATACTTGCTTATAGACTAAAATTCGTTGGACATGCAACAAATTCAGATCATTTGGACTGATATTGGCAATTTGGTGCACAAATAACCAGAAATCGATTGAGGATATTTATAAGAGCTATATCCAAATCGGAACCGATCTTGACAAAATTTGATAGACTTATTTAAGAGCTGTATTTGATATCTGGTACCAGAGATCATTGTTGTGGAATGCATATTACGCTTGTGAGGGACTTTAAACCCCAAATCGGACTATAATAAATATATATTTATAGATATAACTATATCTAAACCGATTTTCTCCAAATTTGACGTAATTTCTTCTAGACTGAATTCGGTGGTATGTAACAAAATTCAGGTCATTTGGACTTATATTGGTCATTTGGTGCACTATTAACCCGAAATCGTTTTAAGATATATATGGGAGCTATATCTTAATCTGATCCGATTATTACCAATTTCTATAGTGTTCGTTCTTGGGCCAAACAAATATCGTTTCCCAAATTTTATCTCAATCGGATAATAAATGCGACCTGTATTTGGTTCACAAAAATACAAGGACAGGTCATACGGACGGACAGACTGACATGCATAAATCGACTCAGAAAGTGATTCTATAAAGATCCTCAAAAGTAACTATGGTAACTTCCTTCTCCATGTTACAAACAAATGGACAAAGACATAATATGCCTACCAACTTGAGGTGTAGGGTATAAAAACAAAATAAACAAGTTTAAAAGCAGTAAGTTCGGCCGGGCCAAACTATGAATACCCTCCACCATTTGCAACGAATTTGAAAATTTAAAAAAATAAAATCCTTAAAAAATTCTGTAAATTTTTAAAATACCGAATATAGCCGTTATATTGGGGTCTATACGACGTGGACCTACATAGGCATTGTTTGCCATTAGCCATTACCATATTCAAATTCGAAACTTGAAATAAACGGTGAATAATGTAGCTAAAATCATTAAAATATCGTATATAGGGAGGTACCGTTATATCGGAGCTGTGCGAAAACCTGGACCAGCATAGACAATTTTCTGTCACAGCCTATAGCAACCATTACTAACGTCAAATACGATATCTCAAACAATTTCGGTGGGTATTTTACCTAAACCCGTCAAAATACCGAATATAGGGAGGTACTGATATATGGGGCCTACACGAACACCTGGACCTGCATAGACATTTTTCTGTTACAGACTGTAGTTCTCATTACGAACTCTAAATACGTAATTTGAAACAATTCCGGTGAATAATGTCGCTAAAATCATCAAAATACCGAATTTTGGGAGGTATCATTATATGGGGGCTATAGGAAGACGTGGACCTGCACAGACAATTTTCTGTCACAGGCTGTAGTATCCATTACGAACTTCAAATACCAAATTTGAAACAATTCCAGTGAATAATTTCGCTAAAATCATCAAAATACCGAAAATCGGGAGGTACCATTATATGGGGCCTATATGAAAACGTGGACCTACATATCCCATTTACGAACTTAACCTGGCTACTAAAAAAATAAACACGTGTGCAAAATTTTAGCCTTCTATCCCAATTCGTTCGAAAGATAGCGTGATTACGACAGACAGACGGATATGGCTAAATCGACTTAGAATTTTACGCTGACCAAGAATGTATACACTTCTTGGGTCTGACATGAGTATTTCGAGGAGTTACAAATCAAGGTTGGCACTAAAAAATACCAAAGTGTAGATCACCTTAAGTAAGCGCTTTGCCGGGAATGGGCCAAAATACCGCAGAGCAACATTTGGCAGCGTGTGACAGTTTCGTTGGCCGTTTGAAGCCCATAATTAGTGCTAAAGGCGACAAATTCGGACAAATCTAAACTTATTCTAAAATTTGATGCTATTTCCGACATTTTTTACTTTCATTCAATAATATTTGAAAAAAAATGTAAAAATTATGGCTTTTGACTTTGTTGCTGTTTTTCTATTTCACCTTGTATACCTTCTCTAGCCATATGTCTGATGGTATCTAAAATATATGGTGGAGGCAGGAACTTGTCCCCTATATTTAGGTTACTTTACTATGTAAACTTACAAAACTGCAACTTAGTCTCCACTTTCATGATCTACTGGGGGTTTATCGTAATTATATTTTGTGTTGCACAGTGTAATTCAGGGAGATTTATATGATCTAAGGCACCTTCGAAATTAATTGCAAATCGAACTCTAATTTAATTATTATTTTTTCTTCTCTTTTTTCAGAACTTGGTGGAATTTACATAGCCCGTTCCTGCTACTTTGGCGATTTGACCAATCAAGTGGTTGGCTGTCAAATTGATCCAAATGACGTTCTGGTGTATTTGGATAGATGTGATGTCTGTACGAGTGATTTATGCAATACCTCATCCACGGTTACGCCAATTGCAATTTTCATACTGGGTATCTACAGCTTGACTCGCTGGCTATTCTGAAAAAAAAACGCTCCAAAAAATAACTAATGTACCATTAAAGACTTATTTTTATAGGAATCTCTGTTATTTGTGGTAGATTATGATTGACCTAAGACGTATTTTTTTAGTTTGAAATCAAATAAAAAAGTATTAAAAATATTTTTTTTTTCTTATTTTTATACAAGTTTTGGTTCGACGATCTAAAAATTCCATAAATCTCAGGTGCATTGATTTTTTTTTCGCCCAAATAAATTTTAATTATTTCGATTATCTGACACATTTTTTACTAACAACAACATATTTTGTTTTTTTTTTTTTTTTTTTTTTCTTCAAACTACAACCTGTTTTGTTCAAAAACTCACAACTTTCCAGCACAACAAATCTCCGTTTTGAGTGCAAACTCAAACCATGATCACCTATTTTGCATTAAACAACATGTTTTCACTCAAACTGGTGCAGTGTTTAGTAAACATTTCAATTAGCCGGTTGTTTCGAAAGAATAAAAGCAAAAAAAAAAAAACGTTGAAAACAAGTAATTCATTTAAACCAATAAATAAAATTAATTAAATCTAAAAAGATGACAACAATTAAATATTTTTTAAGTTTAACTGTACTTATTGCTTTAGCCAGTAAAGGTGCGTTTTAAATGAATATAAAGTGAAGTTTTTTGTTTCCTAAAAAATATATTAATAATATATTAGATAAATAATTGAATGTGTATTGGAAATAAAAAACACTAAATTGAAATTAAAAAAAAAAAACTAAATTAAAATTTAAAAAAAACTAAATTAATTTTTTTTTATAACTAAAGATTGTGAGTTAATATTGTAAATAATATCCTTCGAGGCAGGATACATTTGAAATGGAGCTATGGATCAACGAATTTTTTAATTAATACTCACATGTATGAGTTAAATTAAATGGATGCGCAGTAACCATTGTATCCCAATTAAAAAAAAATCGTAATTCGGTTAAAAAAAATATTAGGGTGAAACTCATTACGTATCTCATTCAACTTTGGTGACCTTTAACAAAATTTTGAAGTTAATAACTGCATAACGGTGTTTCAACACCATTAATTATAAATAAGTAAGGAGGTACTAATTACCAAGGCCAAGAGAGGTCTGATAATAAAAATATAAAATACACAAAATTGTTCATATTTTTGAAATTTGTTGAAGTTAAGCCAACAAGAATACTTCGATATTCAAAAAATTAAAAAAAAAGTTGCAAGTTCGTATGGGCCGATCTTTAAATACCCTCCACTATTTGGAACGAATTTGGCAATTTTCAAAAAACAAAAAAAAAAAAAAAAAAAAAAAAAAACAAATAAAATCCGTTAAAAATTCTGTTAAATTCTGGATCTATACGACGACGTGGACCTACATAGGCAACTTTTATCATAAGCCCTTACAATATTCAAATGCGAAACTCGAAAAAAAAATCGGCGAATAATGTAGCTTAAATCATCACAATACCGAATATAGGGATGTATTAATATTTAAGGGCTATACGAAGACGTGGATCTGCAAATTTAAAACAATTCCGGTAAATAATGTCGCTAAAATCATCTAAATACCGAATATCGGGGGTACCGTTATATGGGGGCTATACGAAGACGTGAACCTGCGCGGACAATTTTCTGTCTCAGGCTGTAGTATATATTACGAACTTCAAATACCAAATTTGAAACATTTCCGGTGAATAATGTCGCTAAAATCAACAAAGTACCGAATATCAGGAGGTACCGTTATATGGGGGCTATACGAAGACGTAGACCTACATGGCTCATTTGCTGTTTTATGGTGTAGTATCTATTACAAACTTCAAATACCAAATTTTAAACAATTCCGGTGAATAATGGCTAAAATCATTAAAATACCGAATATCGGGAGGTACCGTTATATGGGGCCTATACGTTGTACTAATTGCCAAGGCCAAGAAGAGTCCAAAAATCAAAACAAAACAAAATTAATTGTCGTACGGTAACACTTATTCAAAATTTAATTTGTTAGTCCATTTTAATTAAATAGACCAAGTTAACGAAAATTGAAATGAAAATTGAATAAATTAAGTGAAGTGTCAGTCGTAAAATGTGCGTGGGGTACCAGATATAGTCGACCGAAATATTCCATTTGTTTATACCCTCCACCATACATAGTATGGAGGGTATATTGAGTTCGTCATTCCGTTTGTAACTCGTCGAAATAATAAAATTCTAAGACGATTTAGCCCTGTCCGACTTTTGTAGACTCGCAACAGTCAAAACGAATTAAAATAGGAAGCTAAAATTTTGCATAGATCAGTCTTTTGTCTCCAGGCAGTTCCAGTTCGAAGATGCGCTATATTGGTCCACAATATCGTATAGCCCCCATATAACGGTACTCCCCGATATTCGGTATTTTCATGATTTTAGCCACATTTTGTAATGAAATTGTCTGAAAAACCACACAAGTACCTTACCCTCTGAAAGAGGTCCACGATATCGGTATTTGGATAATTTCAGCCATATTTTCCAATGGAACTGTCTAAAAATCCACACAAGGAGTTCCTTGTGAGTACTTTATCCCCTGGAAGAGAATTACCTCTATAGGTCCACGACATCGTATAGCCCACTTATAACGGTACCTCCCGATATTCGACATTTGGATGATTTTAGCCACATTTTTGCATGGAATTGTCTGAAAATCTGCACAAGGAGTTTCTTGTGAGTACTTTATCCCCTGGAAGAGAATTATCTGTATAGGTCCACGATGTCGTATAGCCCACAGAATTTTTAATGGATTTTATTAATATTTTTTTTTTTTGAAATATTCTTAATTCGTTCCAAAGGGTGGAGGATATCGGGCCTGGCGAACTTGCTGCTTTTTTTTTATGTCATACTTCATATAATACTGATAAAAATGTTGGTATGGGCAAAATTACAAGAAAATCAAAGATTTATATCCAATTTTATACGAACTTATAAATTCCATATTTATCTTAGACTTCTGGTTGAGGGAAATATTTAGATATAGCAAGGACAGATAAAAGTGTTGAAAATTATGACCCTTTGTGTGTGAGGTAGAATAAGGGGTTTGCAGATACATATATCATCTTCACAACAGATCTTTTGTTAGTGAAAATGTTTATAAGGGTGAAATTTGAAGAGAGTTGAATGCTTATTTGGCTTACTTTGAGTGTTTGGTTTCTCAAAATCTTGAACTCAATGGGGGGAGGTACCAGAAGAAATGTTCCGATCTCTACCATCTTTATAACAGATCTTGTGTTGAGGGAAATATTGAGATGTCGCAAGTCCAAATGGAATCGGATGTTAATTTCCCTTTTTATGAACTTCATTGATATTCAGAATGTTGACCCTTTGAGGAGGAGGCACCAGAATTAGTTGTCCGATATATCCAATCTTCACAACAGATCTTGTGTTAGTAGAAATAATGGGATGTGTTAAATATAAAGAGTACCTAATGCTTATTTCGGATATTATAAATGTTTTGTTTATTCAAAACTTTGACCCTTTGTGAGGGATCTACAAAAAGGAATGGTCCGATCTCTACCGCCTTTACAACAAATCCTGTGTTGATAAAATTATTCAGATGTGCCAAGCCTAAATGGTATCGGATGTTTATTTCGCGTTTTATGAGCTTTATGTTTATTCAAAATTTCGACCTTTTGTGGGGGAGGTACTTGATAGAATGGACCGATATTAATTCATTTTCGCACCTGACATAGCCCGGATGCAAATATTAGGATTTGCAAAGTTGGAGCAAAATCGGATTATCGTTTCTTTTCCTGTGCAGAAAACGAATTTTTTGAAAATTTCGTCCTTTTGTGGTGGAGGTACCAGAAGGAGTGGACCGATATATTCCATCTTAGCGCCAGAACTTGGGTAAATAAAAATATTGGTATGTGTGGAATTTGAAGGCAATCGGACATTTACATAACATTGTATAAGAGTTGTAATTATTCAAAATGTTGACCCTTTGTGGGGTAGGTACTTGATGGAGTGGACCGATATTGTCCATTTTCAAACTTGACTTAGCAGTGATACACATATTAGGATTTGCAAAAGTGGGGTTAAAATCGTATTATCCTTTCTCTTGCTGTGTAGTATTTATTTATTTTTTTTTTTTTTTTTGAAAAGGTTGACCTTTTTGGAGAGGTACCAGAAGGTGTGGGCCGATATATTCCATCTTAATACCAGACCTTTGATAAATTAAAATATTGGGATGTGTGAAATTTCAGACAATCGGACTCTTACATCACATTTTATGATAGTTGTAATTATTCAAAATTTTGACCCTTTGTAATAGAGGTACCTGCTAGAGTGGACCGATATTGTCCATTTTTTCACCTGACTTAGCACTGACGTAAATATTAGAATTTGCAAAAGTGGTAGTAAAATCGGATTATACTTTCTCTTCCTATGCAGTAAATGTTTTTTATTTGCAAATTTTGACTTTTTGTAGGGGAGGTACCAGAAGGAGTGGACCGATATACTCCATCTTAACACCGGATCTTGTGCTAATAAAATTATTGGGATGTGTGAAATTTGCAGACAATCCGACTTTTACATCACATTTTATAAGAGTTCGAATTATTCAAAATTTTAACCCTTTGTGGGGGATGTACCTGCTAAAGTGGACCGATATTGTCCCATTTCGCCAAATATTAGGATTTTCAAAGTTGGAGCAAAATCGGATTATCGTTTCTCTTTTTGTGCAGAAAATATATATTTTTGGAAAATTTCGACCTTTCAAAAAGTTGTATAAAAAATCCAGGTTAAATAGCCCTTCATTTGTTTAAATCCATGATAATTAGTGAATTTGATAGCCTTTCAAAGTTGTTGCAGAAAAATTAATAATTTTAATCCATTAAATTATTTTTAAGATCCAAACAATAATTTTTAGTCAGACATATCTTTAAGTCTTCCAACAATTAAATTTATAGTTTTATACCCTCCACCTTGGAAAGGAGGGTATATTAACTTTGTCATTCCGATTGTAACATATCTAATTATTCGTCGTAGACCCCATAATGTATATATATATTCATAATCAAGTCGATTTAACGATGTCCGTCTGTCTGTCTGTCCGTCTGTCTGTTGAAATCACGATACAGCCCACATTATTTGACGTAGAGCGCCAAAATTTAGCAGGACAATTTGTTTTGAGTCTAGGATGGTTGGTATTGAAAATGAGATATATCGGTCCACGTTTTGGTATAGTCCCCATATAACGGTACCTCCCGATATTCGGTATTTTGATGATTTATGCCACATTTTTCACGGATTTGTCTGAAAATTGGTATTTGTAGGTCATAACGGGTCCTAGTTCGTGTGGCGAGACATTACATGTATAGGTCCACGCTTTGGTATAGCCCCCATATAAAGGTACCTCCCGATATTCGGTATTTTGATTATTTTTGCCACATTTTTTCTCGGGTTTGTTTAAAAATTGGTATTAGTTGGTCATAATAGGTTCCAGTTCCGGTGGCGACACATAGCATGTATGGATCCTCGATTTGGTATAGCCCCCATATAACGGTACCTCCCGATATTCGGTATTTTGATGGTTTTTGCCACATTTTTTCACTAATTTTTCTAAAAATTGGTTATTTGTAGATCATAATGGGACCTAGTTCGTGTGGCGAAACATTGTATGTATAGGTCCACGTTTTGGTATAGTCCCCATATAGCCGTATTTCCCGATATTCGGTATTTTGATGATTTTTGGCACATTTTCCCAAGAATATGTCTAAAAATTGGTATATAGGCTCTAATGTTTCCTTTACCCTAAGGTGAAGGGTATTACAAGTTTGCTTCGGCCAAACTTAATGTTTTTTTATTTGTTTAAATCCAAGATGGACCTTAAAAATTAGTTTCAAAAATCCAAACTTTTTATTTCGGACGTTTATAACAGATTCTAATATTTGTATTACTCTTTATAAAGGTGCATAAAATACACAATATTGCTTCACATCCCTTACCATAAATTTCAATAAAACATCTAGGAATATTAACCAGTATTTAAATGTGAATTATTATTCCACATCTCATCTGTGGGAAAACTACTTTGCATGATATCATTTTCACAATTTTACTAATTACCTATCTATCTTAACAGCTTATGCCATTCACTGCTATCAATGTGATGCTTCGGAAAATCCCAAATGCGGTGAATATTTCGAGCCGGATGATAACATGAAAGTTGACTGCAGTAAAATTCCGGCACCCTTCTACTCCACCTATATATTGGGTCGTAATGCCAATGCCACCGGTTGCGTGAAGCGCATGTTACAGAAATGTAAGTAATTGAAATAATTTTTTTATTAACTGTTAATTATAGACCAAACGGCAAACAGTCGATAAAAATTAAAGATGAAAAGAAAATGAAAGGAACTTAAGGTAATTGGTATAATTTTGCCAACCCTTGAACTTTGGGAATTAAATTCTTTCAGCGTCACACAATTTTTACTCGGGCGTTTAAAAATATCAAATATTCTAGGGGGTCGTAAATAATATTGAGTATCAAATTTGTGAAATTATCGAATTATCAGTTCTCAGCTCAAATATTTTTTTCATTGCAACTTAATGCCATTTCCACTATTTGTTTACTATCTAATCTCCGTAAATATTGAGAAAAACAAATTCCAAAGCCTACCAAAAACGTTTGAGATCAAATCTAGTTCAATTATAATTACAATCATTTACGCGATTTTAAAAAGAAACAATTAAGCAATCCTAACAATGATTCTCGTGTGTAATAAACAATTAATCAGCACATTTACATCAATGAAATAATACTGAAATATTTACTATGCCTTCGTCATCGACAACGACTATGGAAATGGGAAAACTTGTTTTGTTGTGATTTGTTTGACTTGAAGTTGATGTTTGTTGTTCCGTTGGTTAGTAGTTAGCCTTAAACTTAGCAATGAAAACTCAAATCATCACAGCATGATGATAATGACGATGATGACGACCGTTTTAGTTCGATATTGAAATATATGTTTAATTAAATGTTTTTGAAAATGAGTGATTTATGCAAATTTTGAAAAAAAAAATTTTTTGAAGGACTTTTCTGAAATGTCGAATTTGTAGGAATTGATCTGAGGGTCATTACAAAAACATTTGAACGGTAAAAATTGTTCAGAGAATCCATTTATTATAAACCTGTGGTTAACTATCGCCATTATTACTATGAGTGTTATTTTAAAAGTATTTCTTAAAATCCGCGATTAGAGTCCATTAAAAACCAGTAAGGAATAGTCAAAAGTCGGGCGGCGCCTACTATATTATACCCTACAAAAAGAATTTATTTGAATTTATTTCATACCACTTATCAACATTTGGCTTCAAATCAGTTATAATTTGGTTCAAGAAGGAACTAATATATGGTATATGGCATATCTAATTCTGAATCGATTTTCATTAAATTTAGCGGGGACATTTCAATTTTTTATACCAAATAACAAATAAATTAAAAACCACAAGTAAAAAAGCTTTAATTTCGTTCGGGCCGAACTTTGAATACCCTCCACAATTTCGAATGAATTTGGCAATTCTCAAAAACAATAAAATCCGTTAAAAATTCTGTTAAAATCTTAAAAATTCCGAATGTATGTGTTATATTAGGGTCTATACGACGACATGGACCTGCATAGGTAACTTTTGTCATAGGCTATTACAATATTCAAATGCGAAACTTAAAAAAAATCGGTGAATAATGTACCAAAATGCATCAAAATATCGAATATCGGAATACAGTCATATGGGGGCTATACGAAGACGTGGACCTGCACAGACAACTTTCTGTCTAAGGACGTAGCTTCCATTACGAACATCAAATACCAAATTCGAAACAATTCCGGTGAATATTGTCGTTAAAATCATCAAAATACCGAATATCGGGAGGTACCGTTATATGAGGGCTATACCAAAACGTGGACCTACATGGTCCATTTTCAAAACCAAAAGTGCTGCAGACATAATATACATTTGAGTACATTTTTATCAATCTACTTCGATTCGTTCGGAAGCTAGACTGATTTCCAAAGACGGACGGAAGGATAGGGCTAAATCGTCTTAGAATTTTACGGTGATCAAGAATATATATACTTTGTTGGGTCTAAAATGATTATTTTGATGAGTTACAAACGAAATGACGAACTTAATATACCCTCCATACTATATATGGTGGAGGGTATATAAACATATCGCCGCTGAATTCCACAAAATGGAAACGTAAGTCCCGAAATTCACTCAATTTGGACTAATATTAGCCATTATTTGCACAATAAACCTGGGATCGGATTAAGGATATATATAGGAGCTATATCCAAATCTTAGCCGATCTCGATAAAATTTGGCAAATGTATTTCCGAGCTCTATATGATATCTGGTACCAAATATTATTGTTATCGAATGCATACTACGAATGTGAGGGACTTAAAGACCAAATCGAATGGAACATGTAAATGGGAGCTATAGCTATATCTGAAGCGATTTTCACCATCGGATATGCTAAAACTCTGTCCATTTTTGCTGATACTAGCCATTTGGTGCACGAAAAAAAACTGAAATCGGAAAAGAAGTATATCAGATCACAATAAAATTTGACAGAGCTATTTATAAACTGTATAAGAGTTCATACAGGGTGAGATGAACAAACTGCAACCAACTTCAGACTGCTGTCATTTCTAAGACACTCGTCCGACCGCTGTTAAAATTATTCCAGTGACAGATCATTATATTGTTTACAAGCGTACAAAAGCATTTTGGTGAGAATTTTCCAGAAAAAAAGTTATTCGCGATGGAATTCAAGCGTGATAGTGTGATTTCTTTATATTTGGCTGGAAAACCACGAGTGATTATCGTTAGAACACTCCAGCATTTAAATGTGAATAAATCTTTTGTGTCTCGTAGACCGATATCAAGGAAGTGGACGGAAGAAAACAGCAACATGAGAAGAAATGGTTCGAAAAGTAAAGAAGCAACTTGATCGAAACCCGCGTCGTAGTTGCCGAAAAATGGCTCGTGAGCTGAAATATCGCAATATTCCATTCGGCAAATATAGAAAAAAGAGATCGGGGTAAAGCCATTGAAATTCCAAAAAGTGCAAGAACTTACACCGGAACAAAAAGAAAATAGATTCAAAAGAGCTAAAGAGTTGCTTTACTTGGCCGAAAGTGATGTACTGTCGAATTTGGTTTTCTTCGATGAGAAAACATTCGTTGTTCAGCAGTTTGTAAAAAAAAAAACAAAATGATCGTGTTTATTTGCCATAGAGGTTAGCTAAAAATGTGCAGCTTCGGTTAGCCACCGGAACTCAAGCGCCGGCCATGGTGTGGTGTGGGCCGCCATAACTGCCGATGGTAGCTCTCCGCTCGTATTAATCGATCGTGGCATCAGAATTAATGCCGAATATTATCGCAAAAATATTCTGGAGGCTGTATTAAAGCCATAGACACGCAAACATTTTGGCCGCAGACCTTGGACATTCCAAAAGGACTCAGCACCATCGCACTCAGCTCGCGCCACCCATGAATATTATGCACAATTTTATTTGGTACTAGAGGTACACAGGACTCTGTAAATTTTGTTGAAGAGCTATTCAGAGTTGGTTATAGTTCCGAAATTATGACTACTCTAAACCGCACATCAATAATGTTCATATTCAAATAAGGTTCATTGTTGGTATGATCTACTTCACATAAATTCTCAATATCAACTTTTTTTGTTACGGTATCTCTGCTAAATACGCATAGTGGTGTGGGGTATCATATAGTCGGCCCGCCCGACTCTTGACCTTGTCCGACTGTTTAAGAATGTTTTCGATGGTGTCACTGGGAATTTAAGAGTTCGAATGATCAATTCATTAATAATTTTTGGAAGTAAAAATGGCTTTTAGGGCTATAGTCAGAATTTTTTCGATATTATTTTTCCAAATACTGTTGAGGCTATAATTGCAATTTTAAGGACATTTTAAGAACATTTATTTGTGGTTCCTCTAAAAAATATCAAAGGAATGCCAGAACCATCGTGGATTTTTTTTTTTTATACCCTACAACACTATGTGTTGGGGGTATTATAAGTTTGATTGGGCCAGAATTTATGTAACACCTCGAAATATTGTTTTCCCATATAGGAAAGTATATATGGATCTTCCTAGCTCGCCGAGCTGAGTCGATCTAGCTATGTATGTCCGTCCGTCCGTCTGTCCGTCTGTCCATGTTAATTTGTAATCACTCTACAGGTCGCAATTATGGCCCGATCTTCACGAAATTTAGAATGGAGGTGGGGTTAAGGTCAGAATAGAACCCTATTTCTTTTGAAGATCATCGCATAATATTTAGGGGTTGAAATGGACCAAATACTGAAAAAATGTCGGATTTTGCAGTAGCTATACAGGTCGCAATTATAGACCAATCGACGTGGAATTTCGCATGTAGCTAGAGTTTAGGGCGGGGAAGAAGCCTACCAATTTGGGTGGTCATCGGATAATATTTAGCGGGTAAAATAGACCATATCTTTGTGTTGAAAAAATTCAAAATTTTTCATCAAACCGCGAATATTTTAAATCCCGGCGAAATCACAAAGCAATGACAAGCTTACTTCTGATCTTTACATTGATGTTAACATTGAACAAATCGGATATATAGCAAAATATGTGCGATATATATGCCTATCAAAGAAGATATGCTTGAAAGATCTCTTATATGTCGAGAACGGCTGAACTGATTTCGACAGTTCTCATTAATTCAGAATGGCCTCTTGGCAGGAAAGATAAAACGTCTTTAAAAATCGCATAAAAATATCTCTCTAAAGATGAAAATATTGATTTTGTAAAATGTTCTCATATTTTTTCAATTTTGTCATATATTTGGCATATTTTCATTTTGAATGAAACATTTGGTAATATTTCTACAGCTAACAAAACTAAGTAGTTAGGATATCAGGATATCATATACAGATCGCATTCATGTCCCGATCCTTACGAAATTTTGCATGGGGATAAGATGAGGGTCAGAATAGTAGCCTACTCTTTTTGGAGATGATCGTCATATATTTAGGGGTTGAAATAGACCAAAAAACCGCAATATTGTCAGCAGGTCGTAATTATCGCCCGATCCTCACGCACATTTGAATGGGGGTTAGCGGACATTGCAAAAGCCAAGCAGTTTTGGATGGCCATCCAAATATATTCAATGTGTAAAGGAGTTTGCCAACTTTTGTAGACAAAATACGAAAATATCCATTCCAGTGACTTTTTGGAGAATTCACAAATACAGGAAAGACGCACTTCTGACTATTTCATTAACGCTGATTTCGTGGAAGAATATAGTCAAATGTCTGTATCTCATATAGATGCGTTTTAGTCAAAAACCAATAATAAATGTTAATCTTTTGCCACTTCTGAGAGGTTATAGGTCTTTGGGAAATATTGGTTCCAGATCTAGGATGACCATTTAAGTGCAACATCTACCAATAAATTGGAAATGAGCAAATTAGTTTAAGTTGCTATTATTCGAAAATTAGAGAACGAAACCTGATGGTTTTCTTTTATTATTTGTCACAATATCTAGTGGAATTCTGTCGAGTATATAGACTGTATGGTTTATTATAGTGTTGTAGGGTATTCAACGGTCGGCCCCGCTCGACTGTAGCCTTTGCTTACTTGTTTTTTTTTATGGATTCTCATTTCCAATTTTTCCGGGGTATATTTTATTACTATTCGTAAGGATAACACGAAAAGTATTTTGAATCCTGAAACCCTTCATAAACATAAGAAAGAAATTTTTTTGGAGGAAATAATAATTTTTATGGGACTCTATTTTAAACCCTACACCATAGTATGGGGGTATATTAAGTTTGTCATTCCGTTTGTAACACCTCGAAATATAAATTTTACTCAAATGTGTATTATGTCTACAGTACTTTTGGTAATGAAAATGGGTGATATAGGTCCACGGTATAGCCCCCATATAACGGTACCGATATTCAGTATTTTGATGATTTTAGCGACATTATTCACCAGAAATGTTTCAAATTTGGTATTTGAAGTTCGTAATGAATACTACAGCCTAGGACTGAAAATTGTCTGTGCAGATCCCAAAATTCGGCATTTTGATGATTTTAGCTACATTATTCACGGGGATTGTTTCAAATTCCGTATTTGAAGTTCGTAATGAATATTAAAGCCTAAGACAAAAAATTGTGTGCACAGGTCCACGTCTTCGTATAGCACCCATACAACGGTACCTCCCGATACTCCGTACTTTCATGGTTTTTGCGACATTACTATGACTACAGCCTATGACAAAAAATTCCGTATGCAGGTCCACAGTTTTCATTTAAGTGGTAGTTTTCGGATTTTTTTAAGTGGAGGGTATTTAAAGTTTGGCCCGGTCGAACTTAACTGCTTTTTTAATTGTTTAAATATTTCTCTGCAATAATAGAAGATTTTTTTGTTGTTTTAAGATTATTTTTGTTTTGTTATTTTGAATTTGTGAATGATATATTTCCTATACATTAATGTAACCTTTAACATTTTGCCATAAAACTAACATTTTTTTCTTATTTGTTGATTAATAACCTTGCAGCTTCTCCCTTTGCAGTGACCGGTGATCCGTACATTGCACGCTCCTGCTTCTACGGAGACTTTGCCAACCCCAATAGTGGCTGTGAAAAGGATCAACAAAGTGGATTCACCAAACAGGTATCCTGTTTTGCCTGTTCTGGAGATTTCTGTAACAGTTCTACAGCAACCGGACCAATTTTGATGACTATTTTAGGATTTCTTGTAATGTGCCGTATATTTTCATAAATTGTAATATTTTTAATAATTTATGTAAAAAAAGGTTGGTCACAAATAAAAACAAATATGTATGTATATAAATAAATTACACCCCATGTCTTTTTTGTAATAAATGTGTGGCATGTACTAGTTAATTCCGCAAATAAAAAGAACAGTTAGTCGCTGACAAGTGTCCTGTGGGGGTGTTAAAAAAGTTAAATTACATCATTTTGTGTGCGACACCATTGCTGGGCAGGGTTTTAAATAACACTGTGCAATAGAAACAAATAATTTTTAGGACCGACTTAGTAGATTATGAAAATTGAGCTAAAACTGAAAGGCACGTTCATCGAAGTTTAAAATGTTAATATCGCAAAGTAGACTAGAAAGGTTGGGTAAGTTCTAACCTTTTCCATATATATATTTTTTTTTCGGGTTCCTTAGAATCCTCAGATTCTACATATACAGTGGTTTCTATTTACCTGCATCAACATTAGCTGCGCATTGGCCTTTGCAGACCAAAAAACTTTCTTTATGCCATTTTTTTCTGAATCCCTTTATTTGAATTGTATTTAAGTGCCCAATCGATAGCTGCACATTGGACATTCCTGCCTCGAAAATTTGGTAATTTTTTTTTAATTTGGTTACAAAAGTTGTATTTATCTGCACAAGAAAATTTTTTGCAAACTCAAAAAGGACACTAAAAAATACCTTTTCGTTTTTGTTTTTGTATTCGCAAAAACAATAACAACACAAGAAAAGAGCATGCATTAAAAACATATTCTCGCTTCCTCTCCAACACTAAAAGATGGTTATGCTGCTGCTGCTTTGTTGTGCACGAATAGAAAATTAAAGATAACTGCCCTTTTTGTGCACGTAAGTAAAATTAAAGATACCTGCTTCATTGTGCAGATAAATGCAATGAAGCTACCTGCATTTTGGGCATTGCTGCACAAGATGTCGTGCAATTTTTGATTGTGCAGGTAAGCAAAAAATACTGTATATTGTCTTTGGCTATAGTACTGCTAAAACCAGTAAAGAAAGTCTAAAAGTCGGGCGGGGCTGAATTTATGATACCCTACACCACTTTGCTATTTTAGTAGAGCTCCGCATAACAATTAAACGTTTTTATGGGAGAATTCAATCATACACGCTATGATTATAATTATAATCTAATGTTCAAAGGACTTAATATGTCGAAGCATTTATATCTTTTAAATTCGGACTTGTATTGGCCATTTGGTGCACAATCAATTTGAAATCGGATAAAAATATATATGGGAGCTATATCCAAATCGGAACCGATCTCGATAAAAATTTGGCAAAGATATTTCTGAGCGGTAGAGTGCATATTACGGCTGTGGGTAACAAATATAACAAATCGGATGAACAGTATATATAGGAGCTATAGCTATATCTAAACCGATTTCGATCAAATTTGGCATACTTATTTTCAGGTCCAATCTGATCGTACGTGCAAAATTCCATACTACTCGGGCTGATATTACACGTTTGGTGCACAATAAAAGGCAAATCGGACGAAGATATATATGGGAGCTATATCTGAATTTTGACCGATTATCTCCAATCGGATAAAAATATATATGGGAGCTATATCCAAATCGGAACCGATCTCGATAAAAATTTGGCAAAGATATTTCTGAGCGGTAGACTGCATATTACGGCTGTGGGTAACAAATATAACAAATCGGATGAACAGTATATATAGGAGCTATAGCTATATCTAAACCGATTTCGATCAAATTTGGCATACTTATTTTCAGGTCCAATCTGATCGTACGTGCAAAATTCCATACTACTCGGGCTGATATTACACGTTTGGTGCACAATAAAAGGCAAATCGGACGAAGATATATATGGGAGCTATATCTGAATTTTGACCGATTATCTCCAATCGGATAAAAATATATATGGGAGCTATATCCAAATCGGAACCGATCTCGATAAAAATTTGGCAAAGATATTTCTGAGCGGTAGACTGCATATTACGGCTGTGGGTAACAAATATAACAAATCGGATGAACAGTATATATAGGAGCTATAGCTATATCTAAACCGATTTCGATCAAATTTGGCATACTTATTTTCAGGTCCAATCTGATCGTACGTGCAAAATTCCATACTACTCGGGCTGATATTACACGTTTGGTGCACAATAAAAGGCAAATCGGACGAAGATATATATGGGAGCTATATCTGAATTTTGACCGATTATCTCCAATTTCAAAAGGGTTCGTGCTTGGACCAAACAAATGTTTTGTGCAAAATTTCATCTGGATAGGGCAATAAATGCGAACTGTACTATGATTACAAAAATACATGGACAGACGGACGGACATGCATAAACAGAATATGATTCTATGCCGATCAAGAAATACCTACTTTCATGTTTTTGGGAAACATTGATGCATATTTTTCTTGGGTATGGAGTGGAAATAGAGATTTCTTTATTTCGGTGACTTATAATGAAATTTTATGGCGAATATATTTATCTTTGACGTCACCCTCCTTAAATACTGCTCTGTTGGAGATTTTTGCAAAAACTCACACAAAGTTCGGTTTTATCGCTAAAATGTGTTTTTAATATAAATGAATTCCTGACGTTTAATTAAGATTTAGACTTTTGATATATTCTTGGACCTACAGTAAAATTTTATGACCATGTTGACTTGCTTGATGGTTAAAATGTTCTTCCCCGTATTTTTATTTGCAATATTGTCAAAGACACTACATAAATGCGTGGATTCCTAGGAATCTTAATCTGAAAATTTCCAAAAAGTATGGTAGAGAGGTGAACCTCCCCCTTTAATTCGGTTACTTTTCGATGTAACTTTAAAAGCGCTAATACACGTAATTTCATTATTAGCTCTTCTTCCATCATGTGCTGGATTTTTTGTGTAACTATGGAACAACTTGAATTTTGTTGCCCAGTGTAAGAGACTCAAAAAGTTACAGATATAAGCAATCGTAGTATGGAGCGATTGCCAGGAATGTGGATACCCTACAGAAGGGAAAATAAGGAATAACCTTTTTATACCCTTAGCCATCGAGTCGATCTAGCGATGTCCGTTCGTCTGGCTGACTGGTGCGCACGATAACTCTCGAAGGGAGTATCCGATTTAGTCCAAATTTGGTACATGGTAATATTATTATTAAAATTTGATCGAGTTCGGGCAATATCGACCAACTCCTTCTGATACCTCCACCACAAAAGGTCGAAACTTTCTAAAAAAAAATATTTTAGTCAACAGAAAGAGAAAGGATAATTTGCTCTGATTTTGCACCAATTTTGCAAATCATAATACTTAGATCAGCGCTAGGTCAGGTGAGAAAATGGACAATATCGGTCCACTCCATAAAGTACCTTCCCCACAAGGGTCAAAATTTTGAATATCCATGTAGCTCATAAAACACGAAATTAACATCCGATTCCATTCAGACTTGGGACATTTCAATTTTTTCATCAACACATGATCTGATATAAATAGATGCGACCATTCCTTCTGGTACCTCCCCCCATAAATCGTTCAAGATTTTGGTACAATCGACTGTATCTGGCACCTCACGCACATTTTAACATTTTCTAAAATTTATCTCAATATAATGTGAAGGAAGTATCATATTTATTAAGGTCCTATACGAAATGGACAATATTGACCCATTTCTTCGGAACATACTTCATATAGGGCCAACAATACGAATACTCATAATAGAAGTCAAAATATATTTAAATAATCGAAAATTGGGTGAGAGTAAATGTCTGTCGGCACAACCGACTGATACTTTTTGACTTGTTACAAGGTGAGATGCAACCAAATTCAGACTGGTGTCATTTCTAAGTCACTCGTCCGACAGCTGTTAAAATTATACCAGTGACAGCTCATTATACTGTTTACAAGCGTTCAAAAGCATTTTGTTGAGAATTTTCCAGCAAAAGAACTAAAGAGTCTCTTCGCTTGGCCGAAAGTGGTGAACTGCCTAATTTGGTTTTCTCGGATGAGAAAAAATTTGTTGTCCAGCAGTTTGTAAAAAACAAAATGAAGTGTTTACTTGCCAAAGAGGTCAGCTGAAAATGTGCACCTTGGGTTGGCCACCAGAACTCAAGCGCCGGCCATGGTGATGGTGTGAGCCGCCATAACAGCTGATGGTCGCTCTCCGCTTGTATTAATCGATTGTGGCATTAGAATAAATGCCGAATATTATCGCGAAAATATTCTGAATTGTGTATTAAAGCCTTGGGCATGCAAACATTTTGGCCGCAGTCCTTGGACATTCCAACAGGACTCAGCATCGCACTCAGCACGCGCCACCCAAGAATGGTTACAAAATGAGGTCCCTGCTTCATTTCCAGCGCACAATGGCCACCAAAATCTCCGGATACCAATCCGTTGGACTATTGTGTCTAGAGTATTTTGGAAAGCGAGTTTGGCACTAAAAAATACCAAAGTGTCAATCACCTCAAGCAAGCCCTTCGCCGGGAATGGACCAAAATACCGCAGAGCAACATTCGGGCAGCGTGTGACGGTTTCATTGGCCGTTTGAAGGCCATAATTCGTGCCAAAGGTGACCAATTCGAACAAATCTCAACTTATTCTACAATTTGATGTTATATCCGACATTTTTTGCTTTCATTCAATAAAATTAAAAAAATGTAAAAATGATGGCGTTTGACTTTGTTGAAGTTTTTTTTATCTCACCCTGTATAGTCCAGACTATTAAAATCTAACTTTGACCCTAAAATGTATGTACATATCAATAATAATTTCTCGATACCACTATCCATTCATCTTACTCTGTTGATCCAACCTTAATTTAGAAAAGAAAGGCTCAATATTGGGGTCATAAATTCTTTTATGTACATACATGTGTATATATACATCCATCTTGAACATTCGAAAAAAGATCTATGTTACCTTGAGGCAAAAATTCGGTGTACTTAATTACATTATAAACTCCAAGGTGTATCAGTATACTATTTTCCCATTTTTGACCATTTCCTTAAAACAACCGCAGCCATTGCCCACTTTAAATGTAGCACACCTCCCAACAACGTAGCGCACATTGTAAAATACCTCAAAGATAATGGTCAATGGTGCCGACACTCCCAAATGGAAAATAAATTTTTCACATTTCTTTTGAAGCACAATAAAAAAATAAAAAAAACAGAAAACACAATTCAAACTAACAAATGGGAAAATTCAAATAATGAGAAATAGAGAGGGAGAGAGAGAGAGAATTATAGCATAGGAAAGGAAAACTCATATCAAAGAAGAGAAAAATCTACTGAATATTTTCCTCATTGTTTGAGGAAAATTTGGACAAATTTTCCATTTCAACGTAACGTGTTTCAGTTGATTATTGAGCGTTTAACAATACAGACACACTCGCCCATTACGGGATATAAATCGCTAAACACATTTTGACCAATGATATTGTGAATGATCGCGTCAATTTTTTTTAAATTGAAAATCAAAGAAACCCAACAACACCAATAAATTATAAGTGTAAATAATTCAAAAGAAAAACAAAAAATATTCAATACCATACCGAAAACTATTTGAAATTAACCAAATCCACAAAACTATTATTCAGCCATTTCGAAAAACCAAAAGAAAAACAAATGGAAATATTCACCGAATAATTCTGTGTGGTTTTTTATTTATACAAGGTGTTGAAATCTCTCCATAATTACGAAAAGTGAAAAAAATAGAAATACTCACACTTATTTTATTTTTGTGGGAAGGAGCATCCAAGAACAAAACAGAATAGCTGAAGAAAATCAAAACATAAAATAAATCAATGAAATATACAAAGAAAAGAAATGTGAAGAAAATATTATAGTTATGGGGCCGACTATGTGATACCCTAAACCATTAATGGGATAGTCTGAATTGTGATACATTCTAAAATTCAAAGAGAATGGGAATAAATATATAAAATATTGAAATAAAGATATGTCCCTGAAAAAAACATCAACATCGGTTTTAAAGGTTCGAATATCTGGACGTATAAGAATAATAATTTCTGGTCAATCTTCAGTCGTCTATGAAGGCTCCATTAATGTTGATCATAGGGATCCCCTCCTAATTATCTTAGAGGCCAACATTCAGAACATAATCTATGGAGGCTCTCTCTAATCGAGTATAAATACCATATCTAATTGTTTTTTAGTGTCATCTTATATTTGTCTAAAGGCACTGCCTTTTTAATCATCCAAAGGGGCTCCATTCTTTTAAAACTTAATCTGTATTTTCCTATAGACGTATATAAAGCCACTGCTGTTTCTGTATAAAGACTCTTCGCCACACGTTAAATTTAAATTCTTTCTGGTCGTATATAAATAGAAGTTTTATGCGAGAAACCTTCTCCTTTGGCTGTCCATTTAGAAAGCCTCATCTCTTCCTCCACTTAAGACGTCACTAAAGTCTTCCCTCTGGTCATCAATAAATATTCCAATTCAGTCGAGTGTGAAGACGTATCTATATTTTTTTCCATTTACACGCCTCTTTGACTGCCAATAGATGCTCCTTTCGTCTATGAAGACTCCCCTCTGGAGACGGTACCGTTTAGTCATGTATTATTCGCCGTTAGATACTCTCATTTGGTTATATACTCCCTTTATATTGTCTATAACGACTCCTCCTGGTGATCTATAATGAATCTCATCTAGCCGGGTTCAAAGCCTTTCCCATAGATATTTATCAAAACCCCCCACTGGAACTATTTTAAAACTCCTGCTCCTTCTACTCTACTTCGTGTAGCCAATGATCTCTGGTCGACACAGAAGATTTCCTTTTTTCTTAAAGACTAAGTGTCAGACGCCTATTCAGACAACTTTCTAGCTGACGACACATTCAGACGTCTCGACCTACTTATTTTTGGACGGCTAAAAATATGCCCTCGCTAAGTTCAATTCGTCCAGACTATATATATTTACACTATATTCCTCGTCTCGTCTATGAAACTCCCCGGATTTCGAATCGTCTACGGAGGTTCCCAGGACATCAGCTCGTCTATGGACGTTCCTTGAACTTCGGTTCTCCATTGGGGTATCCTGACCGCCCGGTTATCAATGGAGACTTCCTAGACGTCGAGTCGTTCATAGAGACTTCGTCAACGTCATCTCCTCTATAACGACTCCCTGGACATTCGCTGGTTTATGAAGACTCCCCGTTCTCCAGGACATCGAATAAAATTTCACAAATATATAAAGAATTCTGATCCTCCAAGAAATTTAGAAAATTTTTGTGTTCTCCAAGACTTTTCTACAGTCATATGTACTCAAGGATATCTAGAAAGACCCCCTGTCCCGCATGATGTCTAAAAAAACTTTCAATGTCTTCAGTGTTCTATATAATACACTCTGGACCTTTAGAACGTCAATTACAACTCCGTGGCCCTTGTGCTGACCTATAAAGGCTCCCGGACCTTCATCTTGCCTATAGGGCCGTCATCTGGCCTTTAAAGAGTACAGCTAGCCCACAGACACTCTTGGGCCTTAGGATCGCTCAGAGAGACTCTCAACTCTTTAGCTGACCTATAGCAACTACCGGACTTACAGCTGGACGATAAAGAATCCCAGCCTTCAGCTCGATTAAAGTGACTATGCTCGCTCTAAAAGGCTCTGTAGCCTTCGGCTCGGCTAGCTCCCGGCCCTTACCGTCGCCTATAGAGACTTCCTGTCCTTTAACTAACCATCATTTGAATTTATACATTCCTGGGCGTTCAGATCACCTATTAGGACTTCCAGACCTGCATCTGGCCTATAGAGACTTCTGGACTCAGAGACTTCCGGCCCTTTAGCTGGAGTGTAAAAACTCTTGGAATAACAGCTGAAAGTGACTATGGGGTCTTCAGCTCGCTCTAAAAGGCTCTGTAGCCTTCGGCTCGGCTAGCTCCCGGGCCTTTACGTCGCCTATAGAGACTTCCGGTCCTTTAACTAACCATCATTTGAATTTATACATTCCTGGGCGTTCAGATCACCTATTAGGACTTCCAGACCTGCATCTGGCCTATAGAGACTTCTGGACTCAGAGACTTCCGGCCCTTTAGCTGGAGTGTAAAAACTCTTGGAATAACAGCTGACCCATAAAGACTCCCAGCCTTCAGCTCACCTATAATTACTCCCGGGCCTTCAGTTGGCCTATAGACACCCTTTTATTTTAAGATCGCTCATAGACCTATTGCAAATACCGGACTTACAGCCAATAAAAAATCGAAGCCAAAAGCGACTACAGGGTCGTTAGCTCACCTATTGTAACTCCCGAGCCCTCAGTTGGTATGTAGACACTCCTGGGCCTTCAGATCGCTTAGAGAGACCTCCGATCCTTAAGCTGACATATCGCGTCTACCGGGTTTCAGCTGACCTTAATACACACTTTGGGCTTCAGGTCGCCTATTGGGACTCCCGAGCGTGCATCTGTTCTATAGATACTTCGGACCTACAGCTGACCTACATAGATTCCGGGCCCCTTTTGCCGGCCTATAGTGACTCGCGGAATTACAGCTGGCCGATAAAGATTTCCAAACTTCAGCTCGCCAAAAATGGCCTCGGGGTCTTCAACGCATCTATTGTAACTCCCGGGCCTATAGTTGGCCTATAGAAACTCCCTGGCCGACGGATCGCCTATAAAGACTTCCGGTCCTTTAGCTGACCTATAGCAATTACCGGGCTTCAGTTGACCTTTATACACTCCGAGCCTTCCGATCACCTTTTGAGACTCCCAGGCCTTCGTTTGGCTCATAGGGCCTTTAGTTGGCCTATAGAGACTCCGAGTTGGCCTGTAATAGTTCGGTTGTGACTCCCGGACCATCAGCTGGGCTCTAGAAGTTCCTGCGCCTTAACCAGGTCTTCAGAGACTCCGAGGGCTTCTGCTCAGTGGAGGTTCTGTCCCCTTCTCAGCTCATCTGCAGAGAGATACTCCCTGTCCATTTTAAGTTCGCCTTTAGAAGAACCTCCATGTCCCGTTCCACCTCGTCTGTGCGATAATTCTCCACCCTTTTCAATTCGTCCAAAAAGAGAGAGAGTTCCAACCATGGCCTGCATTTGGCTGTTAATATGTCCATCTGTTGTATTTCCTCTTGAAAATTTGCACCTTCGGTTGACCACCAGAAACTCATGCTCACAGCCGATGGTCACTCTCCGCTCGTATTAATCGACAGTGGCATCAGTGTAAATGCCGAATACAATCGCGAAAATATTCTGGAGGGTGTATTAAAACCTTGGGCAGCCTTGAGATTCTTCGCTTCATTTCCAGCGCACAATGGCCAAAATGTTGCAGGGTATCAAAAGTTCGGCCCACCAAACTTAAATGTTTTTTTATCAAATTTAATTTTCAAATTTCACTTAGAAAATTTGAGCATGGACTTCTAATAAGAACATAAAAAAGAGAAGAAACGCAGAAACGCATAGTACAAAAAACTGTAATTTATTTTTGAAAAATAATTATAAAATGCCTCAAATACATTTCATATTTGTTTCGATAATACTTTCTTCGTTATTCCTGGCCGGTAAGTTTGTATTTTTTCGAGAACTGAATATACTCAAGAACCTAACATACGTCCTCACATTCCATTATTTTAGCATCGGCCATTGAGTGCTATCAATGCGAATCTGTCTATGAGGAGGGATGCGGCTATATTTTCGATTCCGAAGAACATTTCAAAGTGAATTGTGATTACAAGGCGCCACCGCGTTATATTCAAAAGTTGGTGGAAAATGCAAATGCCACAGCCTGTATGAAGCGGGTGTACAAAGGTAAGGTGTATGGGTATTCGAATTTAAAAATAAGAATATTTCAAAATAATTTTTGTTTAATTCATTCAAATCTGTTTTCCCCAATTTGCTACTCTTCCCCGCAGAACACTCCGTTACCAAATATTTACGTAGCTGCTACTATGGTGATGTCAATGACACCAACATCGGTTGTCGCATGGATCCATCTATGGCGGATGTGCATGATGTCCGCTGCTACGTGTGCGATGACGAAGATTACTGCAATGCGGCGCCAACTTTCAGCACTCACACGAATTGGTGGTCTATATTCGGATCGTTACTAATGTTTATTTTAACTGCAAAAATTCTAAATATTCAATGTTCTATGGCATTTGTATGAAATGGAATTTAAGTAATATTTCAGAATATAATTCGAAAATGAAAATATGTCCAAAACGGAAAAGTCCATATAGATGTGTATGTATGTAGTCTTAAATAGGATTAGAAATCAATTGTGAAAATAAAGAAAAAATATTATTCCTCGTCGATAGAATTAGAAGAGTAAAGTTAATTTCAGGATTTTTTATTGAATATTTTTAGATAACGAGTTTTTGGAATTAAAAAAAAAATTGACGATTTTTTTTAATAGGTTTAACCTAGATTTTGTAAACAATATTTTTGAAGGACCTTCAGACATTAAGGTGGCCTGTAGAGACTCTCGAGGCTTTAGCTGGCCTATTAAACTCATTGGGCTTCAGGTCCTTATTATGACTCCCTGGGCTTCAGCTCACCTATTAGGAATCGCCGATCTCAACTTCGCCTATAAGGACTTCAACTCGTCTATAAAATCTCCATGAGCATCAGCTCGTCTATGAAGTCTCCATGAGCATCAGCTCGTCTAATGGGACTCCCTGAGCATCAGCTCGTCTATAGGGACTCCCTGAGCGTCAGCTCGCCTATAAGGACTCCCTGACCGACAGCTCGTCTAAAAGGACTCCCTGACCGTCAGCTCGCCTATAAGGACTCCCTGACCGACAGCTCGTCTATAAGGACTCCCTGACCGACAGCTCGTCTATAAGGACTCCATGAGCGTCACAGCTCGTCTATAAGGACTCCCTGAGCGTCACAGCTCGTCTATAAGGACTCCCTGAGCGTCAGCTCGCCTATAAGGATACCCTGAGCGTCAGTTCGCCTATAAAGAATTCCTTACCGTCAGCTCGTCTATAAGGACTCCCTGACCGTCAGCTCGCCTATAAGTTAGCTCGCCTATAAGGACTCCCCGACGGTCAGCTCGCCTATAAGGACTCCCCGACGGTCAGCTCGCCTATAAGGACTCCCCGACGGTCAGCTCGCCAATAAGGACTCCCCGACGGTCAGCTCGCCTATAAGGACTCCCTGAGCGTCAGCTCGTCTATAAGGACTCCCTGAGCGTCAGCTCGCCTATGAGGACTCCCAGAGCGTCAGCTCGCCTATGAGGACTCCCTGAGCGTCAGCTCGCCTATGAGGACTCCCTGAGCGTCAGCTCGCCTATGAGGACTCCCTGAGCGTCAGCTCGCTATGAGGACTTCATGAGCGTCAGCTCGCCTATAAGGCTTCCCTGAGCGTCAGCTCGCCTATAAGGCTTCCCTGAGCGTCAGCTCGACTATAAGGCTTCCCTGAGCGTCAGCTCGCCTATAAGGACACCCTGAGCGTCAGCTCGCCTATAAGGACTCACTGAGCGTCAGCTCGCCTATTTGGACACATTGGCCTTCAGCTCGAATTTAGAAATTCCTGCGCCTTCAGTTGATCCATAGACACTCCCAGGCCTTCAGCTGGTCAACAGAGGCTCCCGACCTTTCAATTTTAAGGGAACTTCAATACTCAGAAATGCTGAGCGTCAGCTCAGTTATAAGGACTCTCTGGCCGTCGGTCAGCTATAAGGTCTCTCTATGCTTTAGCTCACCTATAAAGACTCCCTGGACTTCAGCTCGTCTATTTGGACTCCTTGCCCTTCAGCTCGCCTATAAGGACCATCTGGGCTTCAGCTCGAATTTAGAAATTCCTGCGCCTTCAGGTGATCCATAGACACTCCCAGGCCTTCAGCAGGTCAACAGAGGCTCCCAACCTTTGAAAAAAAAAATTTAAGGGAACTTCAGGACTCAGAAATTTGTTCTTTTTAAAATATTTTCCTCTGTAGCCTTAGAAATTCCCGCTCTTTCAGTTGGTCTATAAATACTGCCAGGCCTTTAGCTGGTTTTCAAAACGATTTATAAGGGAGTTTCAGGCCTCAAAAATTTTGGTTTTTTTTTTTTAATTTTTTGGTGGGACTTCAAAACCTTTATACCGCTTTTTAGGAATATGTTAGAGCTTTTAAAGCGGATTTTTAAGACTAGTTTCTGAGGAACCTTCAAACCAAAAAAAAAATTAAATTTAACAAAAAAAAAATTGACTGCCCTTCACCTCTTAATATACGTATTTTTATACCCTGCACCACATAGTGGTAAGGGTATTATGTCTTTGTGCATTTGTTTGTAACGTTGAGAAAGAATCGAGAGTGAGCCATGGTTACTTTTGAGGATCTTCATAGAATCACTTTCTGTGTCGATTTACGGTATGTGAGTCCGTTTTTGTGCATTTGTTTGTAACAGGGAGAATAAATCGACATAGACCCATGGTCACGTTTGAGGATCTTCATGGAATCACTTTCTGAGTCGATTTATGCATGTCAGTCCGCCTGTCCGTTTTTTTTTTTTTTAACAAAATGCAGATCGCACAATATTTGTTTGGCCCAAAGACAAACCCTATTGAATTTGGTGAGAATCGGTTCAAATATAGCTCCTATATATCTTCAGCCGATTTTAGCTCAATTGTGCACCTAATGGCAAATAGCAGTCCAAATGACCTGAATTTTGGCACATCCGACTGATTTCCATTCAGAAGAAAGTACATCAAATTTGGTGAAAATCGGTTCAGATATAGAAATAGCTCCCATCATCCGATTTGGGGTTTTAAGTCCCTCACAAGCGTAATATGCACTCCACAACAATAGTATTTGGTACAAGATATCGGATACAGCTCAAAAATAAATGTTTAATTTTTTGTCAAGATCGGTTCAGATTTGGATATATCTCTCACATATATCATTATCCGATGTCAGCTTTTTTTGTGCATCAAATGGGTAATATCAGCCCAAATGGACTGCATTCTGGCACTTCCAACGGATTTCATCCAAAAAGCAAGAGCTTCAAATTTTTGTGAAAATCGGTTCAGAAATAGCTATAGTTTCTATATATATGTTTCATCCGATTCGGAGGGTTTTAAGTCTCTCACATGCGTAATATGCACTCCACACAACCGATTTTTGATACCGGGCATCAGAGACTGCTCGAAAATGCCTATGCTAAATTTCATCGAGATTTCAGATTTTTATATAGCTTCGATATACACCTTCATCCGATTTTGCGAATGAAAAGTCTACTAAGAAAGTGGATTTTGATACACATTTTGGTCAGATTTAAATCGCTCTTCTAAATATTCAAAATTATTTGTTTTCATTTAATGTCTTCACCGCTGACAAAATAAAAATACAAAAATTGTCATTAAAATCAACAAAAGGATGACGTTTTCACAACACACATTGTCAACGACTTGGGGGACAGACAACTACCCACACGTCATGTGGGTTTTTATTTATTTATTATTTTTTTTTTTTTGCTCTCGCCTAAAACTTTGCTTTTGGTCAAATCATTTCAGAATTTGTGTTTCTATATTTTTAGTTGGTTGAATGTGTGGCGAAAAACAAAAAAGAAATGCCCAAAACAAAGTGGAATTTACATTGAAAAGTAAATCGTTGTAGATGCCAAGAAAAAAAATCGAAAACATCTGAGAGGAACATGAAAATTATTTCTTTTTCAAAAAACAAAAATCTCTTAAAACTTTTTTTCTGAATTTTTTTGGTCAACTGCGACTAGTTGACGTCTGGCAGTTAATCGAAAAAGTCATCGGAAAAGAAGAAAATCTCGTAGCGGAATAATGCGTTTCCTTCTCGTGCTGGCGGTGTTCTCGGCATTTTTGGCCACTGGTTATATATTTTCTTTTCATTTTGTTATATAAAAATAGTGGATTATTTTTTGAATACAATTTAATTTTACCCCCATAGCCTGGTCCATAAAATGCTACCAATGTGACTCGATGACCCAGCCCCAGTGCAATGAATACTTTTCGCCCAAAGGAATTGAGCAAAGTGAATGCGATGACGACGATATGCCAGCATATTTGACGAAATATGGTCAGCGTTTTGAGGCTACAGGTTGTTTGACGAAAATACATGAAGGAAGTAAGTATGAGTGTGTGTGTGTAAAAATTATTTTTAAAAAGAGATGTCGATATAGACATACTAAGAGCTGTAACCAGCATTAATGTTTAGAAAATCCTGTATTTTTCGTAATTTTAATTTTAATTTGGATGGCTTTTATGAAGCACTCTAAAAATTCTTAAAAATTTCTGGTTTCCTGAAAATAGACCACAATTATAGTTCTGAAATTCCAACCACAAATTCCCTTTTAAAATTCACAATTATTAACATTTACGTCGTTCATAATTTTTTTTTGAAGTCCTCTTTTATAGCTCTCTGAACCCTCATAATAGCATTTTTATACCAAATATTTTACAAAAAGAAGCACTTTTAAAGCCATGAAATTGCAATGAAAAATTGTTTTAAAAATTTCACGACTGTAGCTTTGTTATTTGTACCAAATATTTCCTAAAAATCTACGATTATAGCGCTGATTAATGTTCTTTACGAATGTACGATAAAAGCTCTACTGGTCCCACCCAAAAATTTTCCTTATAAAATAGAGCTTTAAGGTCTGATATTCTAATATTTTTTAAACACACGACTACAGCTCTAATATTATCGCCAAAATTATTTTAAAAAGTCCACGATTATAGCTCTGCTATCCCTACCAAAAATTCTTTTACAACTATTATGGTCCTATCAAAGATTTGTTTCCAAGATTATAGCTCTGATATCCCTTCCTTAATTCCTTACGAAATTCACGATTATAGCCCTGATATTTGAGCCCAATTTTCATTAAAAACCAGTAAAAAAAGTCTTAAAGTCGGGAGGGACCGACATTATGATAACCTAGTAGAGCTCCACATAACAATTAAATTAAATTAGAAAAACGCACGGGCATACATAGCTAGATAGACTCAGCTCGGCGAGATATGAAGATCCATACATACTTTCCTATTTTGGAAACCAATATTTCGAGGTGTTACATAATTTTTGGCCCAATCAAACCCAACACATAACGTTGTAGGGTATAAAACTTCAAGAAATTTACTATGAAAGCTCCGTTGATACTTTTGATGAACCTTCCGTAAAATTGATGCAATAATCTACGACAAACATCTACAATTATAACTCTGATCCATCTTCATAAATCTTGCTAAAAACTCTGTTTGTCATACCAAAATCATTAACCATTTAACCTTAACGGTTCTGCCAAAAAATGTATGATGAATTCTAAGAATTCTTCCTTAAAAAATCCGCGATTCCACCTATTATAGTACTGCAAAAATTATTCCCATAAAAACCCAGATTACATCTACAGCGGTCCTTCAAGTTTGTCTCTCTAAAAAAGTCATGATTATGGTTCTTCAATAATGATTCTTAAAACTACACGATTAAACCAATTATGAACCTTCACATTTTTATACCCTCCACCATAGTATGGAGGGTATATCAAGTTTGTCTTCCCGTTTGTAACACCTCGAAATATACATTTTAGACCCCACAAAGTATATATATTCTTGATCAGCATAAAATTCTATTTCGATTTAGCGATGTCCATCCGTCTGACCGTCTGTGGAAAGCACTCTAGCTTCCGAACGAATTGAAGTTGATTGATAAAATTTTGCTCAAATGTATATTATATCTGTATACTATATCTTTTGGTATTGAAACACGTTTTGATATAGCCCCCATATAACGGCATCTCCCGATTTCCGGTATTTTGATGATTTAAGCGACATCATTCACCGCAATTATTTCAAATTTTATATTTGAAGTTCGCAATGTATATTAAAGTCTATGACAGAAAATTGTCCGTGCAGATCCACATCTTCGTATAACCCTCATGTAACGGTACCTCCCGATATTCGGTATTTTGATGATTTTAGTGACATTATTCACCGGAATTATTTCAAATCTGGTATTTGAAGTTGGTAATGAATGAATGAATGCCGAAGACAGGTCTGTGCAGGTCCACGTTTGGGTCTAGCTCCCATATAATATTACCTCCCTGTATTCGGTATTTTCATGATTTTAGCTACCTTATTCACCGATTTTTTTCAAGTTTCGCATTTGAATATTGTAATGGCTTACGAAAAAAATTTCCTGTGCACGTGCACGTCGTCGTATAGACCCTTATATAACGGCTACATTCGTTATTTTTAGGATTTTAACAGAATTGTGAACGGATTTTATTTATTTATTTTTATTTTATTTATTTATTTATTTATTTATTTATTTATTTTTTTTTTTTTTTTTTTGAAAATTGCCAAATTCTTTCCAAATGTTGGAGGGTATTCAAAGTTCGGCCCTGCAGAACTTAAATCTTTTTTACTTGTTTTAAGCCTAATATTCCCACAAAAAGTTTTTTAAAACGCTCAGATATGACAACTAAAAATTCTTCTATAGCTATTATAGTCCTACCAAAGATTTTCTTCCTAGATTATAGCTCTGATATTCCTACAAAAAATTCCTTAAAAAATAGCGATTATAGTCTAATTATTTGAATTTCTGAAAACCCACGTATATAACCCTAATGATTCTACCAAAAATTTCCCTCAAAAATCCCAAATTATGGCAGTGATACCAAACAGTTCCTTAAAAAAAAACAACGAGTATAAGTCTCACATTCCACCCAAACATTTTCTTTAAATATCACAGATAATAGATCCGATACCCTGACTAAAAAATTTTTAACATATCAAGATTATTTACCTCTAACAGTTTCTCAAAAAATATTTATTAAAAATCATAATTGGAGATCAGTTCGATGTCTTCTAAAAAAATCGGAAATTCGGTTTAAAAATTTATAATTAAACCCTATCCAAATTTCGAAAAATTAGAATGTATAACTATAGTTTTAATATTCCCTTCAACATTTTTCAAAAAAAAAAAAAAAAATGCATGGGTACACTGTTGGAAAACCTCAACTTTTTCAATAATTACAGGGAAAATCAGGTAAGCAAAGTACAGATGAAAATAGAAAACAAATGTATTGACGTTTTGAACATTTACATCGCAAAGTAACTTAAAAAGAGGGGACACGTTCCGCCCTCTTATAGACTTTTGGAAATTTTTTGGATTGAGATTCCTTGGAATCCGTTGATTTTAGGAATATAGTGTCTACGGCAACATTGCCGAATATTTTTCGAAAATATGGTTAAAAAACTCCCCTTAAACGAATTTGTGCCAATTCAAAATATTCTACACAATTTGTTGTCATAAAATTCTACCAAAGGTCTAAGAAAACATCATGAATCTAAATCTAACCTAACTTCCAGTAATCCATTTATATCGTGAGGGAGAGGGTATTTTTAGGAGAGAGGAGAATATTTTATTTTGAAGAATATTTTTTGAAATTATAGTTAAAAACTCCCTTTAAACGAATTTGTGCCAATTCGAAATATTCTACACAATTATTTGTCGTAAAATTCTACCATAGGTCTAAAAAAACAACAACAGGAATCTAAATCAAACCTAACTTCCAGGAACCCATTCATATCGTAAGGGAGGGGGCAGTATTAGGGGAGAGGGGAATATTTTTAGTGGAATTTTTTTAATTACTGACAGATGACTCTTACTACCTACACAAAAATTTGTTTAAAATGTTACCCCTTCATAAAAAAATATTTTTTTTAAAAATGGTTTTTTACTGTTCGAAAAATCGAACCGAAGAGCGAAATGGGTTATTGATGCCGAAACATAAAAATATCTATTCTCATAGCTTTAAATATTTTTTATTCAATTTTCAATTTAAATTCAATACTCAAAATTCACTAAAATCCGAGTCCGAGGGATTTTCTAATTCCGCAATTAGTTGGGCCTGTAAACTCAGTTCGGATTGGATTTTTTCCAACCAAATTCTATGGTCCTCAGGCGTTTGACCTCTGCAACGAATGTTCAACCTCGAATTGGGTTCAGCGGTTGTGAGTATAAAAGGATTGCCCTTTTCGAGCTTAAGTTTGTTCATCTGCAAGGAAAAAGAAACCAATTAAAATAAATTTCAAAGTCTTTACAAAACGGAATTTAATTCAAATATTCCATCTTACCGGTATTTGCATTTTATAATTATAGATGTCCTTCCCCCGTCGTTCCGTGAACAGCATAATATGTTTGAATATGAAGACATAATAAAGCAGCGATTTTTTGTCATGTTTACAGTTTAGAAAATCGCTGTGAATTAGTTTACCCTGACAGGTGATGTCACCGGGATAATTACAAATGCCATCGACGGCCTTAAAACTATCCGTTTCCTTTACTATGCGCTGAAGGAAAGAAAGCAAGGAAATTTCGAAGAAATAAAGAAATTCTCTCTCTCTCTCTCTCTCTCTCATTCTCTCTCTCGAATTCCTAATCTCCACCAACTGACTTACCTCAATCATTTCGTAGGCTTTATCCACAACTTGACCCTCGCACCCCATTACATGGATGTCGTTAACCAAACGCCCCATAATCATCTTGTAATGAATTAATCGTTGCGTCGGATGCATAAGATCGCTATCGATCTGAAAAAAAAAAAGACCAAAAGTCGCCAGTCAGAACAATTAGGGGATTTCAATTTCATGATAAACCAACTCACCGAATTCTTTCTTCCCAAAACACTGCCGATCGTGTTAAAGTAATCCTTATATCGACTGACGATTTGCTGTGACATGTTGGTCTTACTGCAGAATTTCGAATACATATGGAATTGAGATTCACAGCGCAGAAATTGTTTGGCCAGATCGTTAGGACTGTGTTGACTTGCTTTTAGGGCATCGTAAAAGTAACTAAACATGGGAAGTATATATATATATATATATAGACATAATTAAAAATATTCAGTACTAGTAGATCGCCCTGCCGGTCCACGTTTTCGTATGGCACCCATATAACGGTACTTCGCGATATTCTTCATTTTGATGATTTGCCGGAATTGTTTCAAATTTCGTATTTGAGGGTCTAAATATGTAGATACTACAGACTATGACAAAACAAGTAAAAAAAGTTATGAGTTCGGCCGGGCCGAACTTTGAATACCCTCCACCATTTGCAAAGAATTTGGCAATTTTCAATAAAATAAAGTCCGTTAGGGTCTATACGAGGACGTAGACCTGCATAGGCAACTTTTGTCATATGCCATTACAATATTCAAATGCGAAATTTGAAAAAAATCGGTGAATAATGTAGCTAAAATCATCAAAACATAGGGAGGTACCTATATATGGGGGCTATACGAAGACGTGGACCTGCACAGACAATTTTCTGTCATTGGCTGTAGTATCCATGACGAACTTCAAATACCAAATTTGAAACAATTCGGGTAAATAGAGTCGCTAAAATCATCAAAATATCGAATATCGGGAGGTACCGTTATATGGCGCTATACGAAGACGTGGACCTACATGGCTCATTTTCTGTCATAAATTGTAGTATCCATTACGAACTTCAAATACCAAATATGAGACAATTCCGGTGAATAATGTGGCTAAAATCATTAAAATACCGAAAATCGGGAGGTGCCGTTGTATAGGGGCTATACGAAGACGTGGACCTACATGGCTCATTTTCTGTCTTGGGATGTAGTATCCATTACGAACTTCAAATACCAAATATGAAATAATTCCGGTGAATAATTTCGCTAAAATAATCAAAGTACCGAATATCGGGAGGTACCGTTGTATAGGGGCTATACGAAGACGTGAACCTGCACAGACAACTTTCTGTCATAGGTTGTAGTATCCATTACGAACTTCAAATCCAAAATTTGAAACAATTCCGGTGAATAATGTCGGTAAAATCATCAAAGTACCGAATATCGGGAGGTACCGTTGTAGGGGAGCCATACGAAGACTTTTACCTGCACAGACAATTTTGCGTCTTAGGCTGTAGTATCCATGACGAACTTCAAATACCAAATTTGAAACAATTCCGGTGAATAATGTCGCTGAAGTCATCAAAATACCGAATACCGAAGGCGTCGACCTACATGACCTATTTTCAGTAACAAAAGTCCTGCAGACATAATATACATTTGAGTAAAATTTTATCAACGTTCTTTATTACGTTCGAATACTAGAGTGATTTCCAGAGACATTATAGACCGGAACTGTTTCAAATGTCGTATTTGAAGTTCGGAATCGGTACTACAGCAGCAAATTACTTCTGCAGGTCCAAGCAGCTCCCATATAATGGTTTTAATTAATAGGGTATTTTTTGAGGGATTTTGTTTTTGAAAATGTTCAAGTTCCTATCAAATGGTGTTTTTATCCTTAGTTCCTTTTTATACCCTCAGCCATATGGCTATGGAGGGCCAAAACGAGCCTCATTGAAATAACGCTTTTTGGACCCTGGTTCTCTTTGGACTAAATCCGTTTCGGTTGGCTGGCTGGTGCTCACAATAACTCTCCGATTTGATTTGGTACATCGTAATATTACTGTCAAACTTAGATCGAGTTAGATGGGCAACATCGGTCCCTGCCGCCTGTCTTTGGAATAGTCGCCTTGTAAGGATAGATCCGATCTCATTTTTTTACGTTTCGGCCATGTCATGCATAAATCGACTCAAAATGTGGTTCTATGGAGATTATCAAAAGGAACTTTGGGTCTAGAGAGAGAGAGATTACATCCAGAATCATTGGTGCAGAAAATAGGTCATATCGTCATATTTATCCAATTTTTGCAGTAGTCGCCTTGTAAGGATAGATCCGATGGGCGTAGAGTAGACAAATATTCTCAATACCCGATCTTTGTTGCCAAAAAATCCATGATTATTTTTTTTTTTTTTTTTTTTTTTTTGTCAAAAAATTCCAGAAAATGACTTTTCAGAACGTTCTTCTAAAATAAAATTTCTATAATACCATCTCCAGTAAGGAGAAGGTCATAAATCTTCAAATATATCCCCAAAACATCCCTCAATAGTCTTCCTCGTACTGTACAAATATCCATGTTTAAATACTTACGTTTTATGAAACTGGTATATATCCTCAATATTATTGAAGATTAAATGAGCCAGAGTTTTCAAGTCCTTGGGGATGGGTACCTTTGGTTCAGGCTCTCGAAACTGTTGAATATAACTGTAAACCACGAAAAACATGGAGAACCGAAGGGAGGGCATTTAAAACAAATATGGTTCTGGTAATTATTCTCTGGCACTCACCCATTAACAATGTTCGACAAACTGCCAATATAACTCTCCTCCGTTGAGATAAGTTCCTCAATTGTATGGAGCAAATCTATTTGGCTTTTCTGTCGCTTAAGTTCCATTTTTTCATCAACATCATTACGGGGCGAAATTTCCTTCAGATTTTCCTTAGATTTTTCTTCCTTGGTATGGTTTTTGTATATTATGGAAAATTCTCGGAGTGCCATATTTTATGAAGAGTGACAAGACACCAGTAACGAGACCGTCTCAAGACTGATAAAAAACAATGTTAATATTGACTGTCTTATTTACTGTGACATGGTGTCGTATGACAAAAATATTCCTAACCACAAAACCATATTCTAATATTAATGGACCGCCTGATTAACAATAATAAACTTATTCTACAATTGTGTTTTCTTTGTTTTTTTTTTTTTTTTTTTTTTTTTTTACTGAAAATAAGAGTCTACGAAGCGCTAAAGATAGAGAATGGACAACGATTAGACGGCAGAAAAGAAATATGGGATCATTTGAAGAAACAACCTCCAATTTCACACCAATAGAGGACAATGTTTGGTGCAGTAGTTTTTATACCCTTCACCATACTATGGAAGGTATATTATGTATACTCATGTCAGACCCAACAAAGTATATATATTCTTGATCAGCGTAAAATTCTAAGTCGATTTAGTCCGTCTGTCTGTTGTAATGACGCTATCTTTCGAATGAACTAAAATACAAGACTAAAATTTTGCTCACATGTTTATTTTGCCAGTAGGCAGGTTAGATTCATAAATGGGTCATGTAGGTCCACGTTGTCGTATAACCCCCATATAACGGTACCTCCCGATATTCGGTATTGTGATGATTTTAGCGACTTTATTCATTGGAATTGTTTCAAATTCGGTATTTGAAGTTCGTAATGGATACTACAGCCTATGACAGAAAATTGTCTGCGCAGGTCCACATCTTCGTATAGCCCCCCATATAATGGTACCTCCTGATATTCGGTATTTTGATGATTTTAGCGACATTATTCACTGGAATTGTTTAAAATTTGGCATTGGAAGTTCGAAATGGATACTACAGCCAAAGACAGAAAATTGTCTGTGCAGCTCCCCATCTTCGTATAGCCCCCATATAACGGTACCCCCCGATATTCGGTATTTTTGATGATTTTAGTGACATTATTCACCGGAAATATTTCAAATGTGGTATTTAAAGTTCGTAATGGATACTACAGCCTATGACAGAAAATTATCCGTGCAGGTCAACATCTTTGTATAGCCCCAATATAACGGTACCTCCCGATATTCGGTATTTTGATGATTTAGCGACATTATTCACCGGAATTGTTTCAAAATTGGTATTTGAAGTTCGTAATAAATATTGCAGCCTAAGACAGAAAATTGTCTGTGCACTTGCACGTTTTCATATAGCCCCCATATAACGGTACCTCCCTATATTCGGTATTTTGATGATTTTAGCGACATTATTCGCCGGAATTGATTCAAATTTGGTATTTGAGCTCTTCTGATTCAGAAACCTTGAAGAGACTCTTCATTCCTAAAATACCGCAAAAAACTATTAAATCCTCAAAGACTTGAAAATCTCTTTTATCCCAAAAGCTATGAAAAAGGTCTTCTTTCCACAAGTGACCTGAAAAGCTTTCTGCTACATAAACTATAGAAAAAGATCTTCCGTTTACAGAAGACCTGAACAAGCTCTTCTGTTCTGGAAGAAAAGTTCTAGTTTGCCAGAAAACCTGAAAAAGGCTCTTTTATCCTAAAATGGCGGAAAAAGACCTCAAAGTCCTGAAGAGTTCTTCTGTCCCAAAAGTTGTGAAAAAGCCGTTATTTCCACAAAAGATCGGAAAAGCCAAGATAAAAGCTCTTCTGTTCACAGCAGAATAAGCTCTCCTGTTCCAGAAGGCTAGAAAAGTTATAATTTGACAGGAGACGTGAAAAAGATTTTTATCCCGCTAATACCTTAAGGAGCTGTTCTGTTCCCAGAAGACATGGAAAATATTGTCTGGAAAACCGAAAAGTTATGTAATCCTCAAAGACCTGAAAAGCTTTTCTGTACCAAATGTTGTGAAAAAGCTATTCTTTCCACAAAAGATCGGAAAAGCTTTCTGTCACAAAAACCATGAAAAAAAACTACCGAATATCGAGAGGTACCGTTATATGGGGGCTATACCAAAACGTGGGCCTACGTGGTCCATTTTCAATACCAAAAGTCCTGCAGGAATAACATACATTAGAGCAAAATTTTATCAATCTACTTCTATTCGTTCGGAAGCTAGAGTGATTTCCACAGACGGAGAGACGGACGGACATCGCTAAATCGACATAGAATTTTATGCTGATCAAGATTATTTGTACTTTGTGGGGTCTAAAATGTGTATTTCGAGGTGTTACAAACGGAATGACAAACTTAATATAACCTCCATGCTATGGTGGAGGGTATAAAAACTTCTAAGCATAAACCAGCTGTACAAGGTCTGCTGTCAGTCAAGAATGTAATCTGTCCACAAAAACAGTAAATAATCCACAAAACATCTCCACTCCATATAACATCCCTTAAAGTCCAACCCACCATAGAAGAACAACACAATAACAACAACGAAAATGTAAAAATGTATTTTGTTATCAAGAAGATATACATCTGTTATATGGCCACCTCCCTTACATTACCATATGTGGGATTGACCAAACAGTCTATAAGCTCAGCTTGTATTTGCAGTTGTCTTCGCAAATGAATTAGCCATGTGTTGTGTACCTCCATTGTGCGGCCATGGCATGTCATTCGCGTAAATGTACATTTTGAGTCTGTAGAACTCAAAGAGAATCGGCGCCTGAGCAACTCCTTTACCACGATCCTATTCATCTGCAAAGGAAAGAAATGTCACACACATTTCCATATGGGCTTTCGAATTGCTACCTACCGGAATTTCTAAACAAAAAGTGTAGCAGGGCATTCCATTCTTATCCTTCGATTTCACTTTATCGGTAAATACCATGAGGCGATGGAACAGGAACACATAGTGTAGATGTATCTTGCCCCCGTATTCACAATACAAATATTCGTGATATAATAATTTGCCGTTATCGTAGATGTCGCCTTCGTAGTTTTTCATATCTACCAGGGCACTGAGCTCGTAGATGTGTTTGCCGACATTCTGAAAGGTTTGGAAAAAATTCCATGGTTAATTTTGTTTCGCAAAAACGAACAACAATAAAACTTGTTTCCATTTACCACAATCATATCGTGAGCCTCTTCCATTGTCTCCCAATCACCATTAAGTGCTTGGAGTCTGGCAACGATATCACTTGTCATTTCTTTATATTCTTCAAGTCTTTGCGTTGGAATATGAAGTAAGGTTCTCAGCTGTAAGGAAGAGAGATTCTTGTAAGAAACAATTTTCAAAAAAGAGTGCTGAAATTTTAAATAAATTTTGTTTTTGAATAAAAATCTGTTTAGACTAAAGACTAGTTTACACAACCTGTTAATGTGATATGTAGCATACTTTGAAGAGCTCTCAACAATTTTGAAAGTCTAGTGGATATATACTATACATACAATACTATTAGACGTATACCGTACACATATTAATTTTTTAGTAAAAATCATTTATCCTATAATAGAAAAAAATGGGAGCGCCTAATAGTATATTATTATAAAAATGTCAAAGATGGAAAAATTCACTTTACATATAACTCTAATATGGTGTAGAGACTAGTCTCAAATAATCTTTTAACCCTAGAAAATCTTCGATGTACCGAAGACTTGTTCAGCTTTAAAGGACCTTGGATTTACAGAAGAAGAAGCGTAAAAAAAACAAGTTAAAAAGCAGTAAGAATACCCTCCACCAGTTGTAACGAATTTGGAAAATTTAAAAAAATAAAATCCTTAAAAAATTCTGTAAAAATTTTAGAAATACCGAATATAGCCGTTATATTGGGGTCTATACGACGTGGACCTACATAGGCATTGTTTGTCATAAGCCATTACCATATTCAAATACGAAACTTGAAATAAACGGCGAATAATGTAGCTAAAATCAACAAAATATCGTGGGAGGGATGTAGCGTTATATCGTAGCTGTGCGAAGACCTGGACCAGCATAGGCAATTTTCTGTCACAGGCTATATCATCCATTACGAACTTCAAATACGACATCTCAAACAATTTCGGTGGGTATTGTACCCAAACTCGTCAAAATACCGAATATAGAGAGGTACTGATATATGGGACCTATACGAAGACCTGGACCTACATTGGCAATTTTATGTCACGGACTGTAGTTCCCATTACGAACTCTAAATACGTAATTTGAAACAATTCCGGTGAATTATAACACTAAAATCATCAAAATACCGAACATCGGGGGGTACCGTTATATGGGGGCTATGCGAAGACGTGAACCTGCACTGTAACATTTTGAACTTCAAATGCCAAATTTGAAACAATTCCGTTGAATAATGTCGCTAAAATCATCAAAATACCGAATATCGGGAGGTACCGTAATATGGGGGCTATATGAAAACATGGACTCACATGGCCCATTTACGAACTTAACCTGCCTTCTGGAAAAATAAAAAGTATTTCGAGGTGTTTCAAACGGAATGACAAAGTTAATATACCCTCCATAGTATGGTGGAGGATATAAAAACTATTTAAAATCGGAATATATTTTAAAGCCTCCCTTTTATAACCCTTAAGAGAGCACATATTGTCCCCTAATTAAAAATCAGCATTAAAGGACCTTATGTTCACAGAAAACTCCCTGAGCGTAAAAAAAAACTTTTTATATTAAAAATTGGAATATTTTTTAAAGTCTCCCTTCTAAAATCCTTATATTCACATGTAGTCCCCTACTTAAAAATAGCCGGACCGCCATTTAGAAGGAAATTGAAAATTTTCAAAAAAAAAACGTAGAAAAATACATCTCAAATGAAGCCTCGTATATGGGGACTATACAAAGACGCATTCCCTCATAAATAACTTTATGTCATAAGTTGTAGCACCGATTCTGAAGTAGGTTGATAAAATTTTACTTAAATGTGTATTATATCTGCAGGACCTTTGGTTCACGTTTTGGTATAGCCCTCATATAATGGTACCTCCCGATATTCGGTAGTTTGATGATTTTAGCGACATTATTCACCGGAACAGTTTCAAATTTGGTATTTGAAGTTCGTAACTGGTACTACGGACTATGATAGAAAATTGTATGTGCAGATCCACGTCTTCGTATATCCCCCATATAACAGCACCTATAGATATTCGGTATTTTAATGATTTTATGGACATTTTTTACCAGAATTGTTTCAAATTTGATATTTGAAGTTCGTAATGGATAATACAGCCTACGACAGAAAATTGTCTGTGCAGGTTCACGTCTTCGTATAGCCCCCATATAACGGTACCTCCCGATTTTCGGTATTTTAATGATGGTATTTGAAGTTCGTAACGGATACTGCAGCCTATGACAGAAAATTATCTGCACACGTTTTCGTATAGCCCAAATATGACGGTGCCATATACTTTCCTTTATTGTAAATATATCTCACTTACTTGCCATTTGAGGTTTAGTTTCTCCTGAACTGCTCTAAAGTAATTGTCATGTGTTTTAACAATATGTTCAGCAGTCGGTATATTATTGCAATACTTGGCATAGCGTTGAAATTCAGCATCGCATCTTACAATCGCCTTTCCCAGTTCCAGTGTACAGTGGCGATATTTTGTCAGGATTTGCAAAAATATTCTAAGGGTTAAATCAAAAACAAAAAACTTATAGTTTATATTCATTGCAGCTACCCACCAAACCAAATGACCAGATTTCTGTTTGAAATTCGATTCGTTTTCTGGTCGAAAATTTTGTGAAGTAGGTGTGGTGATATACGACAAACTTTTGCAAAAGTTAAGACTTGAAAAATAAAACAAGCGGAGAAAGGTAAAAAGTCGGAAAGGGCCGATTTAGTGATACTTAATAATAATCGCACCAAAGTATTTCGGATAATACTACAAAATTCTGATATTCGGTTCGATAGGTAGATATGTATGTATGGATTCATGTGTGTCTCTATGTACTTACTCTGTGTGGAAATAAAAAATATCTTCAATATTACAAAATACAACTATGCCTTTGTGGTTCTTTAAATCTTCCGGTATTGGGACCAATGGTGTAGTTTTTCGAAATTCTTGCAAATATCTGTGGGAAAAAAATTAAATAAAAATTAAAAACGGCGCACGACAATTCACTTCGTGGACATATAACTGTTATAGCGGGTAAACTTTTTATAGAAATTTTTTTAAGTAAATGTATTCGCTTCATGATAAATATTGTGGAAAAAAATGACTTATTTCCTTAAAAAAATGTGGAGAAACAAAAAATGTCTCCTTCATATCGAAAATGTCTAAATCTATAAAATTTTCTAAAGCAATGGTGATTCTCTCCATAGACAATTTTCTAGTCAGTCTTCTCGTCACCTAATTGGGAAAATTTTGGGAAACATATGTGATCACCTTCACATCACATTTTGTGGAGAGAATAAGGTCACCTTTCTTCTGGCACAACTGTGGTTCTCTCATTAGAGCCATAGTGGCCGTCCCAATAAGATTTTTTTTCCGAGATATCCTGGGCCTCTTCCTGCGAAATTTTCTATGGAAGATGTTGTCCTATTTATAAGAACAAAAGTTATCCTCTTCATATCAAAATTTTCCAAATATATACAGCGTGCTTGAAAGAGAATATTTTAGAGCAACGTTGATACTCTCCATTGATAATTTTCTTAGCAACTCTGGTAATCTTCATGCGAATTTTTTTAGGAAAACTTCTCATTTTCTGGAGAATATGGTATCGTATAGAGACATTTTCCAGAGCAATCCCTTTTAATCGGTAATTTTCTTTCATCAAATTTTTGTGGTGCAGTGTTGCCTTCATTACCATTTTTATCTAACCATAGCACAGTGTTCGCTGCCATTGACAAAAATTCAAAAAATGAAAATCAGATATTTATTGTCAAATGTGTACACATGGACTCTTAAGAGGTTAAGCTTTTTAGAAAACATAATAATCTTGGCTTCATTCTAACGGGACACTTCGAAAATAGCATCAAAAAAGAGAAAATGTAGTTAGTTGCTTTTTTCAGTGGGATCAGTAAAAATAGATCTGTACTACAAAATTAAATACATTTTAAAATGACAATTCTTGGCATAATTATTGAGAGGCAAAGTATTGACTTATTTTTAGTGCAGTAATTTGTGTGTTTAGTAGTTGTGTATAATAAAGACGATGTGAGTGTTCTGAGTTGCCTTTAAGATTAATTTTTAAAATAAAATTGGATTTCAGTTAAAGTTGTAATTGTGTCCCCCCCTGAATCCTCCAATATGATTTTTTTCACGCCATTAGTAATGGTCCTAAGATTCAAGAAGTGCTAATTTAACTTTCAGATTTTGTCAGATTTGTATGTTATGCCCAATATAATTAAGTGACTTCGCTCCAATTTTGTCAGTTCTATGGTGCTAGTGACATAGAATATGTTTTTGTTGTTTGGGGACAGCGAACGTTACCAATCAATAAAAAGTCTATATTATTAAAATCTGCATTTGATTTACTTGAATAACACTGAAATTTATAAATATCCATTAGTAACATTCATTTAATTTTATATTGAATAGTTTATTTTGTTTATAAAAAAATAAAATTGTCTATTTTGTTTACAAAAAATAATCAAATTTGGAATTTTGATTTGTATAAATAATACTTCTATTTTTGGAGGTACCTTTACAGGGGGACTCTACCTGAGGGCGGGCCGTTCCAAATAATTTTCAGTAAGACTATTTTTTAGCTCTTTAGAACGTAAAATGTCAAATAAAAAAACAATCTAGTGTAGAAATGTGACAAAAATTGGGAAAATAAAACTTATTCGGGAGGTACGTTGTAAGGGGACCATGCCAAAACATGCATCGACCATATTCATTTTGTCACATTTTTAATTTTTATCCCATCAAGGTACCATAACCAAAGAATCATATTGATATCTGCACTGAAAGTATTTTTGGCCGCTGTTCCCATACGACCTCGACAACTGTGCATAGTATAGTAGCCGTCTATGAAGACTGCTTGCGAAATTTTCTATGGAAGATATGACGCTCTTCGTAAGAAAAAAAGTTGTATATATCTATACAATTTTCTAAAATGGGAATATTCTGGAGCAACGTTGATACCCTCCATGGATAATTTTCTAGAAGTCATATTCTTCATTAATTTCTTCATGGTACCAACTTCATGAAATTTTTAAGTAGATCTCATCACTTAATACACAATTTCTGGAGGAAATGCTGCCGTCCTCAAGAGCCATTTTCAAATTTCTTAGAGCAGCTCTGGTCATCTTCATGGGAAATTTTGGTTAACATATGTGGTCAACTTCATACATATTTTCTGGAGAAAATGTTGCCGTCCTCAAGAGCCATTTTCTAGGGCAAACCCGATTCAATTTTTTCCGAGTTATCCTGGTCCTCTTCCTGCGAAATTTTCTATGGAAGATTTGGTCCACTTCATATCTATGGACGAGGTCCACATACTCTTCATAAGATTTTTTTAAGCTAAAAGGGGCCTCAGCAGAGCAAATTCTATCCTTTCACTTTAAGAAAATTTGGCAATCCTTAAAAGAAATATTGGAAAGTTATTTTATAACAACATTTCTAACGCAAATTTTAGAGAAACTGTGGGTCCTTTTGAGAACATTTGATGGAGCAAGGGTAAGAAATAGCTTACAATAACAATTTTTTGAAGAACATTTTGTTTAATTTTCAAAATATAATTTTTTATCTAAAATTTTCTAAATAACGGTGTTCGTAATTAAACCGCCATATTCTTCCACAAAACCGATCCTTTTTATATGCAATTTTCAATAGCATACTTGGTCCTTTTAAATAAAAAAAAAGTGAAAAAGCTGTAAGTTCGGCCGGGCCAAACTTTGAATACCCACCACCATTTGGAACCAATTTGGCAAAAGTCAAAAAAATTAAATTCGTGAAAAATTCTGTCAACATCTTAAAAATACCGAATGTTGGCGTTATATTAGGGTCTATATACGACCTGCATAGACAACTTTTGTCATAAGCCATTACAATATTCAAATGCGAAACTAAAAAAAATTGCCGAATAACGTAGCTAAAATCATCAAAATACCGAATAGCGGGAGGTACCCTTATATGGGGGCTATACCAAAACGTGGACCTGCACAGACAACTTTCTGTCATAGGTTGTACAATCCATTACGAACTTCAAATACCGAATTTGAAAATATTCCGGTGAATTATGTCGCTAAAATCAAAAAATACCAAATATCGGGGCTATACGAAAACAAAGACCTGCACAGACAATTTTCTGTCATTGGCTGTAGTATCCATTACGAACTTCAAATACTAAATTTGAAACAATTCCGGTAAATAATGTGGCTAAAATCATCAAAATACCGAATATCGGGAGAGGTACCCTCATATGGGGGCTATACGAAGACGTTGACCTGCACAGACAATCTCCTGTCATAGGCTTTAGTATCCACTACGAACTTCAAATACTAAATTTGAAACAATTCCGGTGAATAATGTGGCTAAAATCATCAAAATTCAGAATATCATGAGGTACCGTTATATGGGGGCTATACGAAAACGTGGACTTGCATACACAAAAATTTGTCATAGGCTGTAGTATCCATTACGAATTTTAAATATTAAACTTGATATAATTCCGGTTAATAATGTCGCTAAAATCATTAAAATACCGAATATCGGGGGTACCGCTATATGGGGACTATACGAAGATGTGGACCTGCACACAAAATTTTCTGTCATAGGCTGTAATATTCATTACGAACTTCTAATGCCAAATTTGAAACAATTCCGGTGAATAAAACCGCTAAAATCATCAAAATACCTAATATCGGGAGGTACCGCTATGTGGGGGCTATATGAAGGCGTGGACCTGCACAGACAATTTCCTGTCATAGGCTGTAATATCCATTACGAACTTCATATACCAAATATGAATAAATTCCGGTGAATATTGTCGATAAAATCATCAGAATGCCGAATACCGGGAGGTGCCGCTATATTGGGGCTATACGAAGACGTGGACTTGAATACAAAAATTTTGTCATAGGCTTTAGTACCCATTACGAATTTTAAATATGCAATTTGAAATAATTCCGCTAAATAATCATTAAAATACCGAATATCGGGAGGTACCGTTATATGGGGAATATACCAAAGCGTGGACCTACATGGCCCATTTTTAATACCTAAAGTCCTACATATATAATATGCATTTGAGTAAAATTTCATAAACGTACTTCATTTCGTTCTAAAGCTAGAGCGATTTCCACAGACGGACGGACATAGCTAAATCGACATAGAATTTTATGCTGATCAAAAATATATATACTTTGTGGGGTCTTAAATGTATACATATGAAATTTCGTGAGACTTAGTCCTTATTAGGCTCCTCTTCATAGGAGGTCTTCCGGAGCAAACGGGGTCCTTTTAAAAAAATTAGAGCATTTTTAATTTAAAAGCAAATAGACACTCCTCTTTAGATAAATTTTTAGAGCAAATACTGACATTTTCGAAATACATTTCTTCATATATAATTTTCTGGAGCAAACCTGGTCCTCTTTGCGGGATTTTTGCTTGGAGAAACCCAATCTTCATATTCGAAATTGTTTCTTTTCAAACGGCGTCTTATTTTCCTTGAAAATTGTTAGAACAAACATTACCCTTTCCACTGGGCATTTTCTGGAGCCAAATGGTGGTTTTATAGGTTGGTTTTATACCCAAAGAAGTCCTCTTCATAGCTAAATATCTCGAGTAAGCATTATCTTCTTTACAGCAAGTTTTCTATTATTCAAAAGAAAATTTCTACAGGAAGTGCGGGTCCTTTAGTAGAAATTTCATAGAACCTTTAGGTTTAGGAATTTTTGTAAAGCAAATATTATCCTCTGCATCGGTAGTTTCGTGGAGCAAAAGTGGTACTCTTTATAGCAAATTCCTTAGGAAATTTTTTGGAACCAACATTCTCGCTTTAATAATAAAAAGTTCACAAATCTCACACCGTATTTTTTGTAGGTTATCCATGTCATATGTAAAATTATTTTAATTAAACGATTCATTTTTTTTTCGACATCGCTTCATTTTTAAATTCATCTTTTATTTTGTCATTTTTACCCTTCAACGATGAATGATAACTTTTCGACGTAGATTTTTTCGCTGGCTATTAGTTCGGTGAGGGTCGTTTCCAATTTTCCCAAATTAACAGAATTTCGTGTATCCATTTTATTTCTTTTATTTTTTATCGCTGACAACTTTATTCAAAGAAAAAAAATCGATGTTAATCAATGAACACTTCTTTCGTACTGAAAATCGAAATGAGAAATTCTATCACTTATAAATAACCGTTGAAACCACAGTACATGAAAAATAAGCTGCGTTATCTTGCCATTCATCAGCAGGGATATTTTTATACCCTCCACATCCACATCATAGTATGGAGGGTATATTAAGTTCGTCTTTCCGTTTGTAACTCATCGAAATAATAATTTAAGATCCAACAAAGTATATATATTCTTGATCAGCGTAAAATTCTAAGACGATTTAGCCATGGCCCGCCATCCATCTGTCCGGTTGTTGTAATCATGCTAGAATCAAAATAAATACAGATAGGAAGCTAAAATTTTGCGCCGATCGATCTTTTGACTGCAGGTAGGTCACGTTCGAAGATGGTATATCGGTTCACGGTATCGTATAGACCCCACATAACGGTATCGCCGATTTCGGTAATTTTCTGAAATTCTACCCAAGTAGTCCTTCGTGACTACTTTACCCCCTGAAAAAGAATTGTCTAGATATCGTATATCCCTCATATAATTGTAACTCCCGATATTCGGTATTTTGATGATTTTAGCTACATTTTTTAATGGAATTGTCTGAAATTCTACACAAGTAGTTCCCTGTAAATACTTTACCCCATGATAGAGAATATTCTATATAAGTCCACGATATAGTATAGCTCCCATACAATGGTGATTTTAGCAACATTTTTCAATGGAATAGTCTGAAAATCCACACAAGGAGTTTCCTCTGAGTATTTTGCAATCTGGAATTGTCAATGTAGGTCTACGTTTTAGTGTAGCACCTATATAACGCTAACCCGAAATATTCGGTATTTCCAGAAGTTTCGCGACATTATTTACCGGCATTGCGTTAAATTTCGTATTTGAAGTTCGTAATGGGTACAACAAAATTGTCGATGCAACTCCACGTCTTAGTCTAGCCCTCATACAACGGTACCTCCCTTTATTCAGTATTTTGATGATATTATCAGCATTATTCACCGGAATTGTTTCGAATTTCGTATTTGAAGTTCGGAATCGTTAACCTATGACAAAAAATTACTTATCCGGCATCACGTCTTCGTATAGCCCCCATATTAAGGTTTTCATTTGAGCGGTATTTTTCCACGGATTTTTTTTTGGAAATTTTTCAAGTTCCTTCCGAATGGTGGAGGATATAAGATATTCGGCCAGGCCGAACTTAGCTGCTTTTTTACTTGTTTTTATTATTCCGAATATATGAATAATTTCTTCTTTATAGCGAAAATGAAATCAAAGCGAAGGAGCTTAGAAACGTCACTTCATACCAGAAGAGCTGCACGTATTTAAATTTTTCAAAGTGGTTGCTCTTTGTAGCAGCTAAGTTCAACCAGGCCGAACTTTTAATACCCTCCACCATTTGAAGAATCTTGATTTTTTTTTTTTTTGATTCTCCCCATTCAGTTTTTCCACTACTCTTTTACATTCATACATTAATCGTACTTTTTTTCTTACTTCTTTCAGTCGAAGGCCATCGTTACTTCATACGTCGCGCTTGCTATTTCGGCGATTTGGAGAATACCCGCGAGGCATGTGAAACCGATGATCCCTATTTACCTTATGCCGATCTGATCGATTGTGAAGTGTGCAGCGAGGATCTGTGCAACACCGATGTGGGACAGCAGAGCAAGCCTACGTGGTATACAATTGCAGCTTTTGTAATTGCTTTGATTTTTGCCCGTATGTGGTGAAGATAAAATGAAATCGAAAGCAGTTTCTTGTAGTATTTTTTACGTTTATATTTTTAATAAAAATATATATAGTCCCACACTTAATAACCTCTTGAAATTGTCCATACTTATTCACACAGCGACTAAGAGTGCAGAGTAAAACATTTAAAAAGCTACCTATGTTTTAATACCTGGGCCGAACTTTTAATACACTCCACAATTTGTTGAAACTTGAAAAATCAAGAATAACGCTCAAATGAAAACCTTTATATGGGCTACACAAAGACGTGGACCTGCATAAATAATTTGCTGTCACGAGACATATTATCCATTAGGAACTCCAAATACCAAATTTTAAACAATTCTGATAAAAAATGTCGCTAAAATCATCAAAATACCGAATATTGGGAAGTATCGTTATATGGGGGTTGTACAAAGTTGTGAACCTGTATGGGCAATTTTCGGCCATAATACGTAGTATCCATTACGAACCTCAAATACCAAATTTGAAACAATTCCGCTCAATAATGTCTCCAAAATCAACAAAATACCAAACATTAGGAGGTACCGCTACATGGTGGCTACACGAAGGTGTGGACATGTATGGGTAATTCTCTGTCATAGAAGGTATTATATATTACAAACTCCATATACCAAATTTGAAACAATTCCGGTGAAAAGTGTGACACAAATCATCAAAATACCGAATATCGGGAGGTACTGTATATGGGGGCTATACGAAGACATGGTAAGCATTTATTTATTTATTTTTTTTTTTTTTTTCATATGTTGTATTATCCATTTAGATCTTCAAATACGAAATTTGAAACAATTCTGGTGCATAATTTCGCTAAAATCATCAAAATACCGAATATCGGGAGGTACCATTATATGGGGGCTATATGAAAACGTGGACCTACATGGCCCAGTTACGAACTTAACCTGCCTACTGACAAAATAAACATGTGTGCAAAATTTTAGCCTTTTATATCAATTCCATATCAGACAAACGGGCATCGCAAAATCGACTTAGAATTTTATGCTGATCAAGAATATATATACTTTGTTGGGCCTGACATGAGTATTTGGAGGAGTTACAAACGGAATGACCTCCATAGGGTATAAAATTGTCAAACAAGTTAGAATATAGTTTCTCTTCTTATACCCTCCACCATTTTATGGAGGATATATTAGCTTTGTTATTCCGTTTGTATCTCCTCGAAATATTCATAATAGACCCCACAAAGTATATATATTCGGGCTCAGCGTAAAATTCTAAAATTTATGTTAATCCTCGAAATATTGGTCTCCGATATAAGAAACTATATATGGATCTTCCTGTCTCATCGAACCGAGTGGATCTAGCTATGTCTCTCCGTCGGTGTCCCTGGTGATGGTAAGGCGCCATAACAACCGATGGTCGCTCTCCGCTCGTATTAATCCACCCTGGCATCAAAACATTTCGCCCGCAGACCTTGGACATTCCAGCAGGACTCAGCACCATCGCACTCAGCACGCGCCACCCAAGAATGGTTACAAAATGAGGTTTCTGATTTTATTTCAAGCGCACAATGGTCACCAAAATCTCCGGATACCAATCCGTTGGACAATTGTGTCTGGAGTATTTTGGAAAGCAAGGTTGGCACTAAAAAATACCAAAGTGTCGATCACCTCAAGCACGCGCTTCACAGGGAATGGACCAAAATACCGCAGAGCAAAATTCGGGCAGCGTGTGACGGTCTCATTGGTCGTTTGAAGGACATAATTCGTGTCAAAGGTAACCAATTCGAACAAATCTAAACTTATTCCAAGATTTTATGCTATTTCCGATATTTTTTGCTTCACTCAATAAAAGTTAAAAATTATGGCGTTTGACTTCCTTGCAATTTTTTTATCTCACCCTGTATGGATCTTCCCATCTCGTCAGGCTGAGTCGATCTAGCTTTGTCAGTCCGTCTGTGAAAATTTTTGAATAGTACATTTTCTACACCTCGCAACACGATGTATTGAGGTTACTATGGGTAGGTTCAGAATTAAAGCCTATTGTTTTTGATGATGAAATGAACCAAGAACATAAAATTTTCCTAATTTTGCAATCGCTCTACAGGTCATAATTGAAAACCAATTGATACGGAATTTTGTGTAAGAAGAGATTTAAGGACAGGGAAGAAGTCTAGCATTTTGGATGACCATTGGATTATATTTAGTTGTAAAATTGACCACAACTTTCGTGTGAAATTGTTTTGAATACCTGACAACACGACGGAGTGCATAAATATTATTCAAATAGCCCTTGTCAAAAAGCTAAGGGTATTGTCTGGGAAATGCCCTATGACACCAAAACGAAATCTTCCAAAACGGAATTTGGACATAAGGGGGCTTCCAACATATTGTAGTGTTATAGGGTATCACATGGTCGGCCCCACACGACTATAACCGTTGCTTACTTGTTTTCACATCGGCCTTAAGGCAGCTGATTTTTGAAAAGCTGATGTTGCTGGACAATTCCAACTGAGAAAAAAACTGTCCTTGTGAAATCTCTGAAACTCATCTCTTAAAATTGATATATACACTCGCTCTCATTTATTGGTCATTTTGTGTTCTCGTACGAAATTTTGTAATAATTTGTACAGATTATTGGATTATCGTGCACACCTATTAATTGGTTAATATCCATATCTATCGGAAATATCGATTGTTATGATTAGCGATATTTCGCCAATTCTAGTGATTGCTGTAATAACTGAAGAACATTAATCTGGCAATGCTATACTATATATTTAAACTAAAAATGTAGAGCAGACTTTCAGGCGCTTTGAGGTTAATGCCAAAGTATGTGAAAGTATTGTCAAACCAAATTATTTTTAATAATACATTTTGTTGTTCCCTATACTAGTGGCTTTATTTATGTGAGCCTTACTTTATGTCCATTACGAAGGGAATAGATGTAAGTTCCCAGTCTTTTTATTAATTATATTATTGATTAAAAGTCAACTTATAATAAAACAAAAAATTCTATTTTTTTTAATTTCTCTCTGGCATGTATTTATTGTATCCATCATTGAACATTTACAATAAAATCTAAACATTTATTATAAATATTATTAAATAAATTATTTGTATTGTATTTATGGTTGTGTGTATATATATAGAGTATATAACGTCACATTGAAATAACTTCATATATGTATTATTTGAGTTAAATTTATTCGTCTGCTTGTAAGCAGCTATTATTTATTTAGTGTAAGTATTAATTTGTATATATCATCATCATTGGTGTATAATTTAGTTGTTGTTGTTGTTATTTATTAAATATTATAAATTTATTTGTCTATTGAAACATTTACGGATTTTTTGAAGAACAACTATAGCCGCTTTTTTTGTAATATTTTCTATTAAAATACATTTTTCTAAACATTTATTATTAATTGTAATATTGTGATTGTTGTAATGCTTGTTGCTTGGGAGTTATTTATTTGGGTTTTTTCAGATTCCTTTTTAGGCAATATTACCTCTAAATAAGAATGGATTAAAAAATTGCGATGCAAAAAAAAATAAGGGAATAAGGGGTAAAGGAAATAATGAATAAGAAGAGAAATAATGAAATGGGGAGTGTATATTCCTGGGGTCGAATTCTCGCATTAGATATCGAACAAATTTCGTTCAAAATGAATTTGTGTCTATGTATTGAAAAAAAAAATTGATAGACTCTTTCACATTCGATACCGAGGTGTCTCTGTCAAAAATTTTAATTAAATCAAGTTTAAAGTACACATATTCAAATTCACTTTAATCAGATTTTTTCAATATTGAATGCCAGAAATTGATCAAAATATGACTAGATGAAAATACATAGGTATGACTAGAAGAAAAGGTTCACTAGAAAGTATGAGTGAATTAGGGATAAACCCGCTGAACGACATTGGTATAAATACATGGATGTGTATGTAAAATTATTTGCAGATATCCATCCTCTCTATTAGATATTCAGCAAATTGTATCTATTTTGCTCGGAGAACTTAAATATGTAACGTTTACTAATATTTAAAAGAATTATATTCATACAGGATGAGATGAAAAAATTGCAACCAACTTCAGACTACTGTCATCTCTAAGCCATTCATCCGACAGCTGTTAAAATTATTCCAGTGACAGCCGATTATATTGTTTACAAGCGTACAAAAGCATTTTGGTGAGAATTTTCCAGAAAAAAAATTATTCGTGATGGAATTCAGGCGTGATAGTGTGGTTTCTTTATATTTGGCTGAAAAACCACAAGTGGCTTTCGTTAGAGCACTCCAGCATTTAAAAGTGAATAAATCTTTTGTGTCTAGTAGCCGAAAAATGGCTCATGAGCCAAACATATCGCAATATTAAATTCGGTAAATGTTGATAAATGAGCTCGGGGTAAAGCCATTGAAATTCCAAAAAGTGCAAAAACTTACACCGCAACAGAAAGAAAATAGACTCAAAAGAGCTAAAGAGTTGCTTGGCTTGGCTCAAAGTGGTGAACTGCCGAATTTGGTTTTCTCCGATGATAAAACCTTCGTTGTCCAGCAGTTAGTAAACAAACAAAATGATCGTGTTTACTTGTCAAAGAGGTCAGCTGAACAGAACAACAGAACTAAAGCACCAGCCTTGGTGATGCTCGGAATAAATGCCGAATATTATCGCGAAAATATTCTGGAGGGTGTATCGAAGCCTTGAGCACGCAATATTTTGGCAGCAGACCTTTGATATTCCAACAGGACTCAGCACCATCGAACTCAGTACGCGCCACCCAAGAATGTTTACAAAATGAGGTTTCTCGCTTCATTTCTAGCGCACAATGGCCACCAAAATCTCCGGATACCATTCTGTTGGACTATTTTGTCTAGAGTATTTTGGAAAGCAAGGTTGGCACAAAAAAACGACCAAATTGTCGATGACCTCAAGCAAGTGCTTCGCCGGGAATGAACCAAAATACCGCAGAGCAACATTCGGCCAGCGTGTGGTGGTTTCATTGGTCGTTTGAAGGGCATAATTCGTGCCAAAGGTGACCAAATTCGAACAAATCAAAACTTATTCTAAAATTTGATGCTATTTCCGACATTTTTCGCTTTCAT